TATTTTAATGTATTAAATTAATTTTAGTTTTTAAATCCATATCCTCTTTATATTATTAAGTATGTTTTAGATATATAAAGTACTAGCGGCTCACGCTCGCTTCGCTCGGGTTCGCCTCTAGGAAAACAATAACAAATCTATCCCACGGGAATCGTACATGTTTTCGGGATAAAAAGTAGTCTGTGTTATTTTGATGTATGAGCTATATATTATTGTAATGTTTCATTAAAATCCATTCAGTAGTTTTGCGTGAAAGAGTAACAAACATACATCCATATATATACATTCTTACAAACTTTCGCGTTTATAATATTATTAGGATTGAATTTGTATATAAGACGGTTCATAAATACTTTCTTTGATTTCTGCGAATATTTGACGTTTTAAATAAAACTATCTTTTCGGTTTTTTTGTGGGTAGGCTGTCTGTAACAACTATAATATAATGCTTTTGAGACATCTAACACCTCTCTCCCATGACCATAATTGCTGTAAAGAATTCGAAACGTCGGGAATCAAAAATCAAAACGGTTCATAAAATTATTGATATCATCAAATTATACCTACTATATTATTTGTATTTAATCTTTTATGAAACACATAAATTAAAGTATCAATCTAATTAATATAGCTTATAATAAATAATTAGAATATAATAACTCTTTAGAAATCTTACAATTGGTTAGGATATAGGAATGTTATTAGATCACTTCAGTATTTATTTATATTCACCATTAACCGGTATTTTAAGCAATGGCGCGCGTACGTAGGCCGATAAGAGCTCGTTACGCTATTGCTGGTGCAAAACCCACACAGGACGAGACCTTATCATAGCAGATATTGATCGGTACTATCATTTGGATAAGCTCGTATTCAGAGCCTATTCAAAAAATATTCATAAAAAAAATATAATGTAATTTTACATAAAAAAACTTTCTAAAAGCTTAAATTCAGAAGATGAAGATTAAAAAAGTTTCTATACCTTATACTTCCATACTTAATATTATAAATGTGAAAGTGTGTTTGTTTATTTATGTATTTATTTATTTATTTGTTTGCTTGTCCTTCTTTCACGTCGAAACGGAGTGACGGATTGGCGTGAGTTTTTGTATGGAGATAGTTAGAAGGCTGGAGAGTAATATAGGTTACTTTTTTACTTGCAGAAAATTATCTCATCCTCACAGGAAAACACGTTATAATACAACCCAAAAAAATATTTATAATCAGAATTACTTGAAACTTGTTATTAATGCTTTTCAATACAATTAAATAAATACGTGTTATAGCATTTTTCGAAATTCATAAGGGGATAAAATAGGGGATGAAAGTTTGTATGAAACATATGCTTTTAGTTGTTTTTGTAGTTTTAGCACGAACGAAGCCGCGGGTTCTGCTAGTATGTATATACTTACAAGCATTTTTTAATAACTATTAAAAGTATTATGCTTCAAGAAGCAACATTGCCCATTAGTTAATAAAAATATTTTAAAATAATGTAGCATGGCTAATAATAAATTGGATCAACTTCTATAAAAATACTATCTCAAATATACATGCGGTATATTATTATCGGTTATATCGTCAGTTCGAGGTGAACAACCTACTCTTTGTTTAATATAGACGCGAACTAATTCCGATATAATTATTTATTGCACGTGGAGTAAGTACTACGTCACTGTTTTTGTTTCCCAACATTTCTCGTGTCTTCGTATTGTTAAAACTTTGAGAGCCGCCGTCAAGATTCTTTTCATTAATTAGGAAAAGATAACATCGGAAAACTTATTTATAATATAAACTAGCATTGCCCGCGGCTTCGCCCGCGTTCAGATGATCAAAAACCAAATTCTTAGGTTTTACATATTAGTATACACTTAAATTGCAGTTTTTGTATTTTTTGTCAGAAATGAGATATTTTCTCGCGGTTAAAAAGTATCCTATATGTTGACCCGGATAACCAGCTATCACCATACCAAATTACATCAAAATCCCTCCAGTGGTTTTTCCATGATGCGGTAACAGAAAGACAGACAGACAGACTTGACAAAAATTCTAAAAACTATAGATTCGGACTCTGTATCGATAATAATGCCTATTTCAATAAGATTTTCCTAAAAATATTTAATGTACAGATTGGATTTAGTAAGAATTTTATTATATATGTATAGAAGAGCTATTTTGTAATTTGTATAACTACATATATCTTTTTTACCTATTATATGTATACTTTTACATATTTGTATAGATGATTAGTTAGAGTTAGGTATATTATTGCCTCAGAATACAGAATGAACAGTTATTGCAAGTGATTTCAATTCAGCTTACTATTCAGCTGACCTCTTAAGATTATTTTAAAGTGCAATAACACTCGATTTCTCTCCGCATCGACCTCGGCCTCAGACACGCACAGCTTCGATTAATACTACCATGTGACCGAATCTTATACAGGCAGACTTGAATGTTATCTTGAACCTTATCAATCTTGTAAATTAATGAATTTGGATTATTTTATTGATGTAGAATTTATCTACTATGAAAATATTTGCTTTTCTCATTGTTCTGTTTTAACTGTTTATTTAGTCCGCAATTAGATACCAGATGATTACGAGACGTTCACACGAACAATCCATTCAACTCTAGGTTATGTGTTTTCAAAACGTTAAATACGTTCCCACACTTTTTAAACGAATCTTTCTGTAAATTTTAAAACTTTGTTGTGTGTATCTTGCTGTGGATAATAATAAATAATAAGTTGGAAGAATCATTACTAAATTTTCAACCTGTACATTTTCCTAACAAAATAACCAAAGAAATACGTTAACACGATTGCGTTGTACAGACTGGCTAGAACAGATTTAAAATTTATTACGTCAAGTTTTTTTTTACCTTTTGACCTTGAAACGAGAACCAGTGCAAAACCTTGTTTGACTGAGACGCTTATTACATCTTAAATTGTTTATTATTGTTCTTGAGTTGTCCTGCTGCATGTTGACCTCGATCCTTGATCGGCATAGTCAAATGCTGTGAGTCATATTTTAAATAAGGCAGTGGTAGCCCAGTGGTAACGCGCTCGCTTGGGAAACCGAGTGATGCGGTTTCAAATCCCGGGTCTTGCACCTCTGATATTTTCATGTGCCAATCATTTCTAGCATGATTACCACTTGCCTTACGATGAAGGAAAACATCGTGAGGAAACCTGCATGTCTGAGAGAACTTAGCAAGTTTTCGAAAGATATGTGAAGTCCGCCAACCCGCACTTGGCCAGCGTGGTGGACTATGGCCTGATCCCTCTCGTATTGAAGGGAGGCCCGTGCCCAGCAGTGGGACGTTAAAAAGGGCTGATTACAAATATTTTAAATGTAATTATTTAATGTACTGGTTTAATATTTAACATTATAATTTTCCTCTTACTTGACATCATTTAGTCTGACCCTCATTTGCATATATGCAACGGAGCATAATGTTGATGATCTATTAAAATTGTCACTGTCATCAATTTTTGATGTTAAGTAAAGGTTACTGTTATTTCAATTTGTCGGTTGTGTCAGATTCTTGTATTATTTTTACATTTATCTACTGTATATTTCTTCTATTATTATTAAATACTAGCAACTACCCTGGCTTTGCTCCAACAGATGCTTAAAGAAAAATTGCTTTTTTTGCGCCAAGAACCTTCGCAGGACCTTCGAATTTTCGGAATAGCTTGCTTCCCCATACAAACTTTCATCCCCATTCTCACCCCCTTAAGGGATGATTTCCGGGATAAAAACACTCACTTTTCATATAATGAGATTTAAAAAAAAAATATTTTAGGTAAACATTTTTTTTTTCTTTTAATTTTTTTTTCTATACAAAACTTGTCATGACAATAATAAACACAAAAAAAAAGAATTATCCAATTTGGTGCAGTCAATCGAAAGTTAGGCACGTACATACACTTCGCTGATTCATTTTTATTTATAGTACCTGGGCTACCGAGCATCGAATAACCACCAGAGTTTCATCACAATCGGATCAGTGCTTTAGGAACATGTGTAGGACAGACATACGAACATTTATTTTTATTTATATATATTACTAGCGACTCACCCTCGCTTTGCTCGGGTTCGTCCCTAGCTTGATTACCCACACAAACTTTCATCCCCATTTTTACCCCCTTAAGGGACGATTTCCGGGATAAAAAGTAACCAGTCTCCTTCCCAGGATCTCAAACTATTTTCTTACCAAATTTTATCTAAATCGGTTCAGTAGATCCAGAGATTACCCCCTACAACGTCACAAACTCACAATCTCACAAACTTTATCTCTTTAACTTACCTATTAAGTATAAATTTAAAATCATAAAGTTTCAGTTTAAAATATATTTGTGTTGGCTGACAATATTCTGGTTACTTATAAACAAAAAATATTCCATTGTATGTAGCCAGTATAACCAAAGTTTTTTTTGTTGTAACCTCACATTAATATTTCCATTTCTTAACACATATTAAAAAGTTGCTAGGTACCACGTTGCATATGTAAATGTCTAAATTAACGTTATTTCTACCTGGCTTCATAACTTCGTTTCGCTTGATTGTACTCAATTCCTAAGTCTTGTGCTCTACTGAATCGTGACGGAACATAATGAACATAAATGTGCACACGATTAAAATTGGGACATTGATTTGTAATGGACTGTTTCGTTCACTGGCGTTGTGCATTTGTTCTGACACTTTGTAAATGTGATAACATACTTAACTGCAAGACTCGTATCGTATTATATATATTTTTGTTAATATAATATTCTATTTGATGTTCGAGAATAAATTATTGTGCCTGTGAGAGAGCGCTGTGTCAGCCAAGTGATAGAGCTGAATTTGTCTTAATGCGACTTGCTTTAATAAAATTGTGGACGCAAAACCTCCGATTATCTTTAATATGTTTACTTTTTCTTTCTACTCTACTTGGTTTTGAAAGACATTATGTCGCACGCTAAATTTAGCATCTATTGTTTAAATGTAATAGTGGGAAATCCAAACGATGAGAAGCTGGTCTTGGTGAATGTCATTAATCGTGTCAATTGTAAACAAGCCCGTATGGCGGCGCCGGCGCTGAGTCATACAATTGCGATGTGGGCCGGCGCGGGGCATTGTGCCGCCTCAAGAAGTGTAATATGATTGTATGTAAAGGAGGCGCGGGCGGGCGCCTGCGACGCCGACGCAGATCCTCGAGAAAGCAGCGACTGTCGTGACCGACTTATCGAAATAATGTGTAAATGCTTTATCTTATTAAATTAGTAATGATCCTATGGAATCCATTAGAGAAAATCAAAAACCCTTGTCGTGTCAATTTTAGCTTTCTTCTTTCAATTATACTATATTTTTGATTATGCATATAAGATTCTCAATAATATCAATTGTAAGGAGAATATGAATATTACGTTAAGATAAAATAACATTTATACTTTTATACTTCAGTTAGGTTATATTGTTCACTATAAGGATTTAGTTGTTTAGATGAACTTTATCTACTCGCCTGGCTCTCTCTCACGATTTATGTCGTGATGAAGCCCCTTGGAGATTCACGACATGATAGCTTGCTATATTTGGTAAATCGATTGTAACTTAACCAACCCTACTTACGATTTACGAAAGCACCTGTCTATCCACAATCCGCTAGAAAGGATATGACCCTTGCTAGGGGAATCAGTTAGGGATGTGACTTAGAGGGAAAAGAATCGATTACTAAATAATCGATTTTTCTCTCTTTGAAAATAAATCAGTTTGTAAGAAATCGATTAACTAAAATATAATAGATTTTATTAAACTATTCGAAAAGTTGCGTTTTTTCGTATATAATAATAAAATTATCAAGTTGATAACTGAAACAACAATCTGTTGGTTTTAAAACTGAAAAACAAACCAAGTTTTGTTTTCAACTTAAATAATTAAGAAACTGAATAAAATTATTGCTACTAATTTTAAGTAATATTTAACATTTTATTGAAATGTACAAAACGATAAAATGTGTAGTTTGGGCTAAATTGGTTTAATCCAACAACGCATATCTTATCTTTTTTACTTAAAAAAAGAGAGTAAGTAATATAATTGATTCATTAAAAATCGATTTTTAATATTTCGATAATCGATTATAAAAAATCAACTATAAGAAAAAAAATCGATTAATATAAAAATCAATTATTTTTTCACATCCTTGGAATCAGTGAAGGTTAACACAATAATAATTAGTTAGTGCCTAAAAAGATACTTCTTTATATAAATTGTTATAAAGACAATGGAATGGAAATGTAGAATATGATTTTTCATATATTAATGCTTGAAGAATTTTATGACGTAAATTAACGTTTACTCTATTAATCACTTTTATTTAGAATAATTTGCAGTATAATTAAAAAAGGGTAAATTACTTACTACCTTTAAAGTTTAGACAATATTTTTGTAGTGATGTAGGATTTGTATCGTCGCGTTGGTATAATTATTAATTTTCTAGCGTCTTTGATTATATATTACTAGCGACTCACCCTCGCTTTGCTCGGGTTCTTCCCTAGATACCTTATGACTGTTAGTATGGAATACGTAGACTATAAAGTCTATCTAAGTTTATATTATGGTCTATGTATCTTGAGAAATGATTGATTCCCCATACAAAGTTTTCCAACCCCCTTTTCATGCCCTTAAGGGATGATTTCCGGGGTAAAAACTATCCTATGTCCTTCCCACGGTCTCAAACTATCTCCATACCAAATTTCGTCTAAATCGATTTAGCGGAATAAGCGTGAAAAGGTAATAGACAGACAGAGTTACTTTCGCATTTATAATATTAGTATGGATTACCTATTCTACAAAGTACAAGATTCCAACTGTTGAGGCATTGTATTGCGTATTATAATAAAATGTTAATTAGGATGTTTTTAACATGTGAGAAGATTCGTAAACAAATAGGTAAGTAGAATTTTATCAGTGCGGTGTGCGGGTCATTGTTCGGACTTTCCCCATTTTCTTTATTTACATCAATCGTTGATTATAATAATGCATTTTAATGAAATACGATCAAAATGCGTTATTTATAATGTAATTAAATACTTGAATTGATAACGATAGTTGATTTTTTTGCAACACAAAAAACTTGATAACTATAGATAGATTATATATATAGTATAAGGTTCGACCAACATTATTGTTGATGGAAGATTGTAATTGTTACAATTAGGCTAAGGTTATTATAAATTATATAATCAACATATTTAAGTTTTCTGAAAAAAATGATGATATATGATAAATGGTTAATAGAATAATGTTATATTTTAAGCAAATGCCTTTTAAGATTGTTGTTTATTTGTAGGTAATAATATATTTACCTAGCAATGCCCGCGGCTCCGCCCGCGTTCAGATGACCAAAAACAAAATTCTTAGGTTTTACATATTAGTATATTCTTACATTGCAGTTTTTGTATGTTTTCTCAGAAATGAGATATTTTCCCGCGGTAAAAAGTATCCTATATGATGACCCGGATAACCAGGTATCACCACACCAAATGTCATCAAAATCCCTCCAGTGGTTTTTCTGTGATGCGGTAACAGACAGACAGACAGACAGACAGACAAAAATTCTAAAAACTATATATTCGGCCTCTGTATCGATAATAATGTTTATTTCAATAAGATTTTTTTAAAAATATTTAATGTATCTACACATTCGGCTTAATTACAATTTTATTATATGTATACATAACGTTAAAGCCAGAGTTTCAAAATAGTCGATGATACATAATATTGCGTATGCACTATTCAGTACACCTACTAAAAATACACATCTTTCTGATGCAATCTGCTTCGATATTATTTCCATGAGTGAATCACTTTTCAAACTGCCTTTCATGCTGAAATCTGCCTACTGGCCAATTAGTAAATAGTTAATCGGACGTGTCGTGTATTCGGAAATAGCGATTTTGATTGATCTCCCGGGTGAGAGGGCGGGTCGGGCAAACGAGCAAATCAAGTAGCACTGAGCTGCGCAGCGCCGGTCGTAGAGAACGACATAGCATTGACGGTTATCCATCCGGATTGCAATTATTAGAACTGCTGTCTATTTATCATACTATGATATATAATACTAGCGACTCACCCTCAATTCGCTCGGGTTCGTCCCTAGATACGTTTTAACGGTTAGTATGGAATAGTAATATATTATATTATGATATTCTTTATATTCCTATTAGGTTGATTCCCTATACAAACTTTCATCCCCATTTTCACCCTCTTAAGGAATGATTTCTGGGATAAAAAGTATCCTATGTTCTTTCCAGGGTCTCAAACTATCTTTTTACCAAATTTCATCTAAATCGGTCCGGTAGATCCAGAGATTACCCCCTACAACGTCAAAAACTCACAATTCACAAAATTTACCTTTTTATAATATTAGTATAGATAGCCTATGGCCCTATAGCCTTCCCCAATGAACGTGGTATCTAATGCAAAAAGAATTTTTAAATCGGCTTAGTAGTCTCTGAGATTAGCGCATTCAAACAAACAAATAAACTATGCCCCTTTATGATATTAATATAGATGATATAAAATATTGTGAACGTATATTATTGTAAACTAATATGTGAAAGCATCACACAAAACGCAAAGACTTGTTACAATTTAGAAATTACCATTTTAAGCACGTTGCATTTTTCATGTAAATTCAGCACACGCTAGTATTTGCATATACGGTCATGCAAGGTGTTGTAGAGCAGGTTGCTGTTTTACTTGGCACATGTCTTGTGGGATTTTTAATCTCAAACATAAAAATAAAACACAAATATTTATTGACTCACTCTCTCTCGCTCCGCTCGTGTTCGCTCCTAGTTGCTTAAAATACGGGGGGTGGGTGTAGGAGGGTGAAAAATACTTTAAGTCTTTTCTAATACCTACCAAATAAACAAAAAAAATCATTAAAATCGGTCGAGCCGTTTCGGAGGAGTGCGACCACAAACACCGTGACACGAGATATTTATCTATATAATTGTATTTGATTATAAAATGTGAATATACATAAATGTACATACCTAAATGAAGTGTTTATTAAGTATTGTGTTTACGTTTGTTTTCCACATTAAAAATTTTTTTAATCACCTAATTTTCTTATTATAAAATTATGAAAAATATTTACAATATGTAAGAAGTAGGTAATTATTAGGAATATGCTCGTCTACATATTGTTTTAGATTAAGTTTTAACTGTTAGTTAGTCATAGAAAAGTGTAAAATATGTTCCGAAATATAATTTGTTAAATGTTTTTATGATGTTTTTTTTAATAGCTAAATTGTTTGTTGCTTTATATTTATGTATGTTTTTTTATAAATTTATGCAGATAATAACTTTGAAACGTTTTAGCATTATGGCTCGCTAAAGCTAATGCTAAAATATTCAGTCGAAAGATTTATATTATGCTGAAATTTACTGGGGATGACGTGATATCTCGTTAGAATGCTCAACGAGCAAGCCATAGCATGAATCATGTATGAATATGACACACAGATAGCCTCTGTGGCGTCCGTGTGAATTATCTATAGAGATGTAATTTTGATTCGTCTAGCGAGTGAGGTCGCTGTCCGTATACCACGTGATCACTGTCATCCGACTTAATGGATGTTAATTTTTTGATGATCATCTTGATCATCATCATCTTGATGCGTGCACGGCACGCGCATAGTTTCATTTTAAATACCTGTCATTATGTACATATGTATAGCTATTTGTTAAATTACATGTATCATTTTTTAATACAATTTAATAATTAATAATAACTACGTAATTGTTTAATAATTACACTACGGGACTTAACGCGTTTATTCGTAAGTGGCTATATACGTAGTTGCCGACGTTTCGACTGGGTTGCACCAGCCATGGTCACGGGCATACTGATCTGTACCTATAACTATATGTGCTGTTATATGTATATGATGTAATACTATATTAACACCTCCAGGTAATTTTCTAAGAAATTAATTAAATTTCTAAGAAATCTATTGTCAACTGTAACGTCGCGCCGGCGTGTCAGCGGTCGTGGAGTGATTAAATTACTATTAAGTTATATTAATACATGAAATAAATTTCTCTGGATGATATAGATTTTTTTTAATAAAAAAGCTTTTTTCATAACTTGATATGTGCTTATGCTATTAAGAGCTTTGCAAATGGCTGTATCAGATTAATAAGTAATATTGCATATATTGGCAATAGCAATACGATTGGAATTTTATGAGGCGCTCATATGGCTTTCATCGATAGCTATTTATTAGGCTGCAAAATAAAACTCCCCGTTAGCGGGATATAGATAATTTTGCAGATTAGCAGATAACAGTTGATAATATTGCAGTATAGCTTTTATATTGCATTATATCTTATCGTGTACATGTTATTGTCTTTGGACATTACGTAGGTATATGTTGATCAATTCGATGATGTCATAAATAAAAAAAAACATACATATTACATACTGTGTTCTTATAAAAAAAATTTTTTTCATAATAACGAAAATAGTCGACGCTATAATCAAAGCTTTGTATATTACGAAGCTCACAAAGCTTGAACTACTGAAGTGCATTTTTACATTTCTCCCTTTGAAGACACAAGACCACATCACTTGTTGCACGGGTCCCATGTACGTATGTAAGTAACGCGTTATTTTCCGCAAGATACGCTGTAAATAAAAGCGTAGTTCAACGGCTAAAATAATACAACACCCACAAGCAGATGGGAACTGTAAATAGAATAAACCATAAACAGTTTTGTAATTCTTTACCGGATTATAATTGTCGTTATTAGGTAAATTTTATCTAACATTTACTTTCGATCATTAACTAGGTATACGTTTAAACAATGCCCTGTGGCTTTTATAATATATTTCCCGGAAAACGCATTCATTTGACCTGATTCTCATCTTTCACACGTTATATTCAATTCTGCTTTAATTTGGAACGTTTTAGTGCAGTGGAAGCTGTCCATTGTGCTGCATTGTTTCACAGCTATGCGTTGCACTAACACATACATACACACATATGTACATAGGTACGCAATTTTATCATTGGCCTTTTAAATGTTCGCAATTCACAAAATGGCTAACATAATATTTAAAATTATAAATCCTGTTTCAAGTAAAGAAATGGATATAAAAACGTGTTTTTTTTTTAAATATGATTTATGATATATGTAGTATAGGTCATTAACATATCTATCTTTTAATTAAGATCATTGATATATAAAAATGTATATCAGTATAAAGGATACATCATATAATTTCAACATTTTGCAATGCAAATAAAGTACACCAATTAAAGAGACAATTTTTAGAAAAAAAAAATGCAAAAGTATCGTACAGAGGTGATTTGAAAAGCGGCAGACAGCCTGGGCAGCCTTTCAATTACACGAGGGCAATCGGATCGACGGCGACTTGCTGCGAGCGTTAATTAGAGAATTCCCGCTAGTGCCATGTATAACTCTTCCGGGGCCTCTGGTCCTCCCGCTAACCAATTACCAGCCATCTAATGAGCTATACGTGCAAAAGTTTGCACACAGTGCTCGCTGGCTTAGTCATCCGGACTGAATAAAAATGACCATGAAAATAATATAAGCTACTTAACAACTATATTGAACATTTACTCATACATATAAGTTACCGAGAAACTATTTATAAGCGCATAACTCAAGAATGGCTGGACCAATCCGGAACATACGAAAAAAACAATTTTTTTTCGTATGTTCCGTAAGGTCCACGGAAGGTTTTGATAAAGAGAAAAAAATGAAAAATGAACCAAAAAAAAATTATATTTATATGGCTAACGCTGGCTAATAACTATTTATATTTATTTAAAACGTACCTAGCGACGAACCCGAGCGATACGAGGGTGAGCCGCTAGTTAATGATAATTTTAATTACATATAATATCTTATACTTTTAATTTTAACAAATACACAATTTATAAACAAATATTTAAAAACTATTTTATATTATATGTATACCAAAACCAGTTTTATTTATTCTATTTTATCATTTTCCTTACGAGTAAATAGTTGAACATTTATAAACCTAGCAAAAGCTTGAAGCTTATCGAATATTGTCAGCCTTACACTAATGGAATTACGTAGACTTGATATCTAATATCTGCGAGAAAGCTCTCGGATAAGATGCCCTTTATTTGTCATGTGTCTCGCCGAGATGGAAACCTCTTTCACAGCCGCATAGACGGTTGGGCTTAAGTGGCCGCATCGAGTTTGTTTTCCTACTATAATGTGTCTGTAAATATCAGCCATCACCACTTTCTCACTGAAAGAACATTACAATATATTATGTACGATTAATTAACACTTTGCCGCTTGATTAAACTTATCTCATACAAAATAGTTCTAAGTCAACAGCTGTGACTTATTTTCTAATATAGTGTAATAGAATATTGTAATCTATCCACTGTCATTGTTGTGATGCAACAGACGTATTGGCGTCACGATACAGTTAGACCGCAGGCCGCAGTGTCGGGTTCAATCCCAAATATAACACACGGACGTTTCGGAACGTGCATCAATCTCTAACTAGATCTAACGAAATTCCATGATTGAAAGTTGACTTCTATATATAAAACTAGCATTGCCCGCGGCTCCGCCCGCGTTCAGATGACCAAAAACGAAATTCTTAGGTTTTACATATTAGTATACTCTTACAATGCAGTATTTGTATTTTTTCTCAAAAATTAGATATTTTCCCGCGGTAAAAAGTATCCTATATGCAGACCCGGATAACCAGCTATAACCATACCAAATTTCATCAAAATCCTTCCAATGGTTTTTCTGTGATGCGGTAAGAGACAGACAGACAGAGAGACAAAAATTCTAAAAACTATAGATTCGGCCTCTGTATCGATATAATGTCTATTTCAATGAGATTTTCCATAAAATATTTAATGTACAGATTCGGCTTAGTTACAATTTTATTATATGTATAGATTTAACTTAATTATGTTACATGTAGACTTTATATATGTTTTATATTAAAATTGTTTAATTCTTGAAGTAGCTACAAATCTTTAAAAGAGACAACTTCATTTTAGTTAAAAGTGGAAAAAAATAATGAATTCGACGCTAGCTTCTATACGGTAGACCTTTAGTATAGCTAAATTGTACGTTGGAACTTTAAGTGGAGCCTGCAATGGCGTCGGGGGGTTCTCCCTAGCCATGCTGCAGCATGAAAGCGCCAGCCTCCCTGATCCACGCGTTCGTCGATCTTTCAATATCAACTTTAATGCTTGTAGGTATAAAGAAAGAATACTAGTTTGTTTTTATATAACAAAGGACGGCTGGAGGTTAGACAGATAATTCCTATTCAATTACTCGACTTAAAGTTTTCTTATTACATTTCTATTCGTTTGGCACCGTGGCCATGAATTTACCACATTTAAATAACACCATGTTTTGTACTATAACTCTTATAATAGTTAGATGTATCAGATATTGTCATAAATATATTACATAAAATAAATATTTGTGTTTCCAAAAACACATTCATATGCTTACAGCGCGTTTGCATTTAATGTTATATTAGATACTAGGTATAATATCTGCTTAATTTAACAATAATAAGATGCATGACGGTATCACGAGCAAGTTTAATCTATTCTATCGTCTTGTCGAACTGCAAGTTGCAGCGAGCCGGATGAACTTGCTGGAAAATTGCACTTGATATGCCTCCCGGTGCCCCCCTTACCCCTCTCAATTCCATTACTACACTTCCTATCTATCTCGTAATGGCATGTATATGATGTTATCTTGCGCCGTTACATTCTAAACATTTCGACTCTAGTTCAATCGGGATAATTTACGAGTTCTAATTTTATAGGTACACTAGCATTGCCCGCGGCTCCGACAGCGTTCAGATGACCAAATACCAAATTCTTAGGTTTTACATATTAGTATACTCTTACAATGCAGTTTTTGTATTTTTTCTCAGAAATATGATATTTTCCCGCAGTAAAAAGTATCCTATATGTTGACCCGGATAAATAGTTATCATCATACCAAATTTCATCAAAATCTGTCCAGTGGTTTTCTCGTGATGCGGTAACATACAGACAGACAGACAGACAGACAGACAGACAAAAATTCTAAAAACTATAGATTCGGACTGTATCGATAATAATGTTTATTTCATTAAGATTTTCCAAAAAATATTTGATGTACAGATTCGGCTCAGTTAGAATTTTATTGTATGTATAGATTTGATGTCAGTGGAATTTTATTTATGACTCGTGCTCAGGTTTCTGAGTCGCTGTCTACTACTTGTAACAGGGCAGGTGCGTACGGTTTAGTATGCACCGATGCGATGGATCGTAATCCGTTTTTGCTCGAGTTGCAGGAACAATGGCCGACGGCGCATTCCATCCGCATCACCGTTAGCGGTCCGTAGTAATCATAGCAATCATCATCGCTTTGGTCGTACGTAATTTTGTTGCGTCACAGAATAATTTTATTAAATAAAAAAAAAATATGACGCCTGATATGAAATTGTTTGCTCTTTTTTATATCGCATTAAGTAGACAAATATCCCGATTTATACTAACACGACAGGATGTAAACCAATATTTTAGTATAGTAGATTCTGGGATGAGGGTTAAATTAATTCGTTGGCAGAATACATGTTATGGGCTGAATATGTTGGGACTAGTGTCGAGTAACCTGAAAAGTAAAACGTTGCTTATTGAACAGCTTCGTTCTTAACGCAAGTTGATATCAACTGTCTTATTAGATTTAATTTGACTCTTACATTACAATTAAAATAATATTGGTCAAAACTCACTCAAAAGCTATATGTTAGAACTATAATTATTCTAAAAACAGTTATTGGTAATAAATAAGTTATAACATTTTTATTTATATTATGTTCCATTTTTATAGTTTTTGAATTTATCACAAGTATGTTTATAATTAAAATTATAATTAATTTAAACTTGTAATCTTATGCATGTCATTCGTTTTATAAGAAACATGGCGAGGTTGGCTTAGCGCCAGACTAAATAGGGTAAAAAAGCAAAGGGCGGTGGCGTTGACCGCGCCCTAAAATAGCAGGCAAAGTCAAGGCGTGTATCTATGCCTAGCGGCATTTGCCATGCGTTTTCAAAACCTTCATTTATCTGAGTATTTCAACTATACCTACCTGTGAATAGAACACGCCCCGTCTGGTGTGAGTTGTGATAAAATCATGCATTGAAAAGCTAATTATTTTTTATACTTACATTAATTAAATATTACGAGACATTTTCATAATATCGTAACATTAAAATTATATAAAAATTTCACACGACAGTCGTATAACTACGAAAAAGCATTTACACAATCACACTACAGAATGCCAAACGAAACCATGTCGACAACACTTAGGAAAAAGAGCGGCCCTTTTTCGTATCCCTCCATATGAGTCAACAATGCTGGCCAACTTTGCAGAGTTGGTGTCGTGTTAATAGATCAGAGAAAATAACGGAGTACGTACAAGTTAATACCCGAAGCATATTAGATATTATACGCTAGTACAAAAGGGGCACAATTGCGATGAGGTGACTCATGCGCCAAGTTTGAGACTGAACAAGGACATCCTCACACTGCTTGAGCTGTGGCAAATGGAAACATAAACATGGTTACTCCATATCCGTCCGCTCTATTCACCATTGTGCCGCAACAAATTGGAGACATAATAAGACTTCGCAACAGAACTTCGCGCTAGATCATTAAATTGACACATTTAAATTTTAAGGATAATAATAGAGTTGAGTAATGCGATGCTTGTCCGAATTATTCTAGGCGCCCTCAATACACCGTGCAATAACTTTCTATTGTATCTTACGAAAAAATTATAATCGCTTTGTTTTTGTCTCAACAGATGACTTGAAGGCGGTTCCGAAGAATTTAATAAGACAAGCTAAGAAAGACGGCTCTGAAGATAATATTTCAATAATCGTGGTGTTCCTGAAGGACCCGCGTGATATTGTCGCCGACAACTGCCCGCCCATGGACCTTGGGTAAGTGTTAATGGTTACGACACTTTTAAGAGTGTATTCACTCATGGCAGCGCATCACTACATAGTATAAAGTCCCTATGTATGCTTAGATCTTTAAAACTACGGAACGGATTTTGATGCGGTTTCTTTCATAGATAGAATGATTTAAGAGGAAGGTTTATATGTATAATACATGCATATTATAGTACAGAATAATCGAGAAATTCAAAGATTTCTATTTCATACTAACCCTTCAAACGTATTTCCGAGATTTTTTTAGCAATAAATGGAGAAATATTGTTGGTATAATTAATATTTTAATAAAATATTTTTTTTATAAAGGCTGGACAACGCGGTGGTGAACGCACCACCGTTCGCCGTAGAGAATGAGGCATGTAAACTGGTCGCCGAGGCTGGTGGCGGTGACTGCGCAGAGGGCGGGGACAACAGTGTCTCAGACAGCGACAGTGACGACCTCGGCCCGGAAACGGCGGTCGACGCCGACCTGGACATCGACGACGACGCAGAAATGAACCACGACCCGGCACCGCCGACCCCCCCAGCACACGCTGGTAAGTTTTTTTCACATTATCACTACATTTTCCTATAGTCGAGGGTTTCGGGAAGAGATCTCTCTAAAGAGATACATATATAGATCGTCCTGTGTATACGCAATATCTACTCGTAATAATCTACTTTGTATAATATGGTTAACAAATAAATAAATATTTGTACATATGTCTAGTGTAATAATAAAAGTGTCTATGCCGATGATCGCAACCTCCAAATATTAGTACAATCACATAATTATTTAAAATAATTATGCATATAAATAAAATTGAATTGAAATTGAAATTATATAAGGTACTTCAAGAAATACACAATTTTTGAAATTTTTATCTGGTTGTCTGTTTGTTCCGGCTAATCTCCGAAACGGCTGGAATGATTTTCACGGGACTTTCACTGGCAGATAGCTGATGATATAAGGAGTAACTTAGGCTACTTTTATTTTAGAAAAAGAGTTAGGGTCCCGTACAAAAAAATTAAAACGTACCTAGGACGCACCCGAGCGAAGCGAGTTAAGTTTATACTTCTATACTATAATATTATAAAGAGGTAAAGTTTGTGAGTTTGTGACGTTGTAGGGGGTGATCTCTGGATCTACTGAATCGATTTACATGAAATTTTGTAAAAAGATAGTTTGAGACCCTGGGAAGGATAAAGTATACTTTTTATCCCGGACATCATCCCTTAAGGGGTGAAAATGGGGATGGCAGTTTGTATTGGGAAGCAAGGTAGAGACGAACCCGAGCAAAGCGAGGATGAGTCGCTAGTTTATTGTAATTTGTATGTATAATCGGCATGAGTGTTTCCATATTTCTTCTTAATTATTTTAATCGAATGACTATTTACGACCGACCTGTATAAAATTGAAATATGTAGGATAAAAGTGACCCCGTAATAAAGATGTGTCATCACATTCTATTGTTGTAGACGCACGTCGCCGGCGCATTTTTATTGATTGGTTTAATATACCAAGGAAAGCGACCTCGTCCCTGACATTGCGGGCACCTATTCTTTGGCAAATCAAGTCTCACTTATAGCATAAAGTTCTACGATTTAAATGCTTAGGTCATGTTTTTGACTGTATTAATTTTTTTACACTTTTTATTAAGTTATTATTTACATCATTTTATAATTTTAAACCTATCGGACGGGAACCGTTCATTTTTATGCACCGTAGCCTATGTGTTATTCCAGTAAAAACTATCTCAGTGCCAAATTTTATCCAGATCCTTTCAACCGTTTTGGCGTGAAAGAGTAACAAACATCGATACATACTCTTATATATATATATATATATATATATATATATATACTATCTCAATGTCCAGTGTTCTTTATTCTGTGGCTTACGTGATTTATATTATCTCAAATGTCATGTTACGGTATTCCCAGTATTTTGTTTAATGTAAAATCATATTAAGGATACATAACAGAGAACTCAAAATATCTATACATATAATAAAATTGTAACTAAGCCGAATCTGTACATTAAATATTTTTTGAAATAAACATTATCATTTATTATCGATACGGAAGCTGAATCTATAGTTTTTAGAATTTTTGTCGGTCTGTCTGTCTGTTACCGCATCACAGAAAAACTACTGGAGGGATTTTGATAAAGTTTGGTATGGTGATAGCTAGTTATGCGGGTCAACATATAGGATACTTTTTACCGTGAGAAAATATCTCGTTTCGAAGAAAAAATACAAAAACTGCAATCTAAGAGTATACTAATAATTAAAACCTAAGAATTTAGTTTTTGGTCATCTGAACGCGGGCGGAGCCGGGGGCAATGCTAGTAATATAATATAATCTATTTTAATAAATAAAATTATCTAGCCGTGTTGCTGAAATCTTAAAAGGGTGTCATGACGGTATATAAATTGGTTCACATTTTAGGTGTGGTATTACCGCTCACATAATTACTTAGTGCTAGGTTAGGTAAAAATTCGCTAAATGGGTAAGTTCTGATGGGAGTGTATACAATTTACGACTTACATATTTAATTAGTATGTCGTCATGCAACTAGCTATTATGACTACAAATATTTTATTTATCAACCTACGTATTAAATAATATTTTAATAAAATGAAATCAAATTGAAATAGTTTACACGTTGTTTTAATAATAGCTTGTTTCTTAATCTCGCATTTATATATATGAGGAATGGGGGCAAGGTAAAAATTTGGGAAAAAAAAATAAATAAAATGTAATTTATCATTGTACGTACGCCTGAAATAGTCCAATTTAAAACTTCATCATATAACCAAACAATGGTTATATGATCAAATATTTAGCCCAAATCTGACAATTATGTTTTATGTATTACATATTATGTACTTAAATTAATTTCGCAATGATAGCCCAGTGGTAACGCGCTCGCTTAGGAAACCGAGTAAAGCGGGTTCAAATCCCGGATCTCGTACCTTTGATATTTTCATGTGCGAGTCATTTCCAACATCATTACCACTTGTTTGACGGTGATATAAAACACCCGAGGAAACCTACATGTCTGAGTGAATCTAGCAAGTTTTCGAAAGACATGACGAGGAAACTTGCACTTGAAGACAACACGCACTTGGCCAGAGGGATTCGGGAGGCCCGTGCCCAGCAGTGGGACGTTAATATGAGCGTTAGCGTTAATATGAATTACCTAAATTAGGTATATAGAAAGTTACGTTTAATAAAGTGAGTATGGAGTTAAAATCTAGGTATTATTAGTTTAGTTTTTTCTATTATGTTGAACTCCTATATATGCATATTATAAAAGATAATTATTATTTTAGTTTAAAACTTAACTAAGTTTTTGCTTCGTTTATAATTTGTTTAACTAAAAACAAAGCAAGTTAATGGTTAAAATTAAAGGATAATATTATTTTGTGTAGACAATATAAAACGTAAATAATGTTATTATTATAACGAGACGGCATCCCTGAGTCCGCGCCCCTCTAGCCGCCACGAGCGCCGGCCGCCGAGCGCGCCGGTTCCGCCCGCGGTGCGCCCCGCGCCGCCGTCCCCGCCGCGCGCCCGATCAGTCGCACATCGAACGTTCGTGGGCTCTGTACTGCTCTCCAACGACCAATCTACAGTTTGTGAACGGGCTTTTGTCTACATTCAACGTCCAAAACTATATTCTTTTCGGCAGTTGACGTATAAATTTGTGTTGTGAAATTACCGTTTACGGTACGTGATTTTAAGCAAATTTTGTTTTAATTACCTATTTAGAATACCGAATAGTTTGTGAAAGGTTATTTCTGTGTTGATTCATGCGGAGCGGTGTTCTGGAAATAGATTATTCGTGCTGTGGCGCATCCCTCCTTCGAGCCGTGCAGGATTCCCGCAAAGGCCGTAGTTTCATCATATTTTTGACTAGACATGCATTATCAGACACGGGCGTGTCTCCATAAACCGTTCTCGAAATGGCGTCCGCGAAGTTTTCGCGATTTAAAAACCGGCGACCGGTAAATATTGTGTCAAGCACGCTACATTATTGCCGGCTTTTTTTATACCGTACAATTGAACGATGTCGTTATGGAATTTTAATATTGCGATGAAATCGTAGCTTGTTTGCTCGGTTTATCACGTAAGGGTGTGTCACCTGTTGATAGCGAGTGGGGGTGAACGGTTGCGTGATCACCTGGTGTCAGACGGGAGGTTCTGAGCGTATGTAATAACGTGTTATTTTTGTGTTGTACAGTGGAAGAAAGCCACGTCGACGGCAACTTAGTGGATAATGTAGCGGAGAGTGGCGAGGAGTCCGAAGACGAGTGGAATTACTTCAAAGGAGAAGGCGAACGCGAACAAAACCCCAGTGAAGAAGCCGACGAGCCCCCAAGATCCGAAACACCTTGTCAAGATAATGTAAGCTTTAAAATGAACTTTCTACGTAATATACTTACATTAGTCTTAACTTTGTATTAGTAAATATGAATAGAAATATCCATCATGACCTATGGCGTGAGTTATGAGTGTTATTAAATTAGATTGTGGTTTCTTACATATTGTTCAATGGTTATGTAGCATTACATTGAATGTAATGCTACATCGTTATTGCATTAGTGTGATAAAGTGAAAAGGAGTTCTTATCGTAGGTTGTACAGCTTTTCTTTCATAAAATATGTTCTTTCAGGCTTTAAATAAATATAACTTTATTCGTTATTATTTTATATCTAGGACTTAAATATCGATTGATAAAATAATCAATTATTGACTTTTATTTAAGTGTTTATCTTTACAAAAATGAATCATAAAGTTATAAATTTAACATATTTTCGTAATATTATATATTGAACATATTTTGGTAATATATATTGAACATATTTTGAAAGTAAATGCACTATGTCATATATTATTAATTATTATTTTGCCAATGAGGAAAAATTGAACAAAGTACTTACAGAATGCATAATGAATAAACAATATATTGTTTAAATTATAATTTTAGTTTTAGAGTTCAAGAAAAACTTGTCCTTTTAGAATTTAAATGTACATTGTACAGTCAACAGTGTAATTATGACATCATTAGAAACTTTATCAACATCTCTTTCATGTTACACCATTTTCTTTTAATTGGAACGATAAAACATATGTAGGTACTTTTTTGTTATTTGTTATAAAGTATTCTTTAGTACCTACATTACAAATTAAAATATGTAACTGTTAAGAATCTTATTCATTTATTTTTATCTAATGCTTATTATTAAATAAACAGAACTATAATATAAAACTGCCTCGGTGGTGTAGTGGCTAGCATGTACGGCTGCACACCCGCAGGTCCTGGGTTCGAGTCCCGGGTCGGGCCCAGTTTAGTTATTGAGTCTTTCTGTATAGTAAGTCTCAGTAACAGCCCGGAGTTGGGAAGTTGGCGGTGTTTCACCCCCGTGCCTCGGAGAGCACGTAAAGCCGTCGGTCCTGCGCCTTAACTCTCACCGGTCGTGTCGAGTGGTCGTCCCACCGGAGTATGAGAGTGATAGGAATAGAGAGTGCACTTGTGTCTGCGCGTACACTTGAGCACTATAATATCTCCTGCGCAGTTGGCTCATCTCAATGAGATTGGCCGCCGTAGCCGGAATCGGCTAGGAGAACATCATCATCAATATAAAATAGACAGAAAATATATTATAAAATAAACAGTATTGACAAATTAAAAATTTAAAGTGCTCTAATTTATATTAATATAAACTTGTTTCAGTCTGCTTGGGAAAGCAGTTCAGTAGACATGAATAGTTCACCACTCAACCCAGATGCACCAGTGTTTGTGCCTGGCAGTGTTGCGGGCTCTGATGTGCTACTAGCGGAATCCCCACGGAAGCCGCTACCAATGGACGATATCGAGCTGCCTGATGTCGCCCAGTTCCAGACTGAGGCCATTGTCAGGCCAGCAGAACTACAAGACTTGGACAACTGTGATCAGCTCAATGGGCATCATGTAAGTTATCATTCAAATATAATATTAGCACTTCTTTTGCTTACTTATTTTTAATCACAACTAGTCTCAATTTAGTTGCCCTATTACACATTTTGTTAGCATTTGTTAAAAAACATTGTATTTTTGGTAATAATAAGTATTATAATAAGTATATTTTTCATGCAAAAAAATATTTTATTGTGTGTTTCATCTTTCTAATGTAATTAATTGTTTGCTATTTATAGTACATTGAAATATATGTGTTTTGAAATAAAAAAAAACCAATACTTTAATGTATTCTACAATTATTATATGAAAAGATATTTAGGATCAAGTGTATCAGTATATTTCTTAGTTAAAAGATAAAACAAATATTGATCCTTAAAATCAAAAAAATATATGATATGGGGTTACCATTTTAATTTAAATATAGTATTATTTAATAATTTCAATTATTATAAATAATAAATAATATTTAATTAGTATGCAAAAAATTGCTACAATTATTAATAATTCTTGATGATTATATTCCTATTAATCAAACTTAATAATTTATCTGTAAAATATGTGTACGTATTATGTACATACTTCTTCTTCTTCTCCCTGCCCATTTCCCAATCACTTGGGGTCGGCGCAGTACATCTTCTGTACTGCTGATAGGTTTTTACTGTATTATGTACATACATGAATAACAATCTACTTTTGCACTGTATGGGCCTCTGAGTTGTTTACACTTCAAGCTGCATATATTTTTATTAACAGGATGTATATATTATTAACAAGTAAGAGAATGAATTTCATTCTGACTTCTAAGGCTCAACAAAGCGAATGTATACAATGTATAGCATGTCATGCTTAAAACTGTTTAAAGTAATAATTAAGCTTACTAATTACTTTGGATTAAGTAAATATTTAATAACCGTTTTAATTGTATTTTCAGAATATATCAATGGAAGGTGTAACAGAACATTTAAATGGTAATGACAAATGTGAAATGGAAAGTCTGGGCTTTGGTTTCAATGTAGGTATTGAACAAGATAAAATAAAGGATACAAGCCTCATCCAAGATTTTGAAAGAATACAAAAAGATACTACAGATTTTTGCAATATTCAGGTTTGTGCTTAAACTTTGTAAAACTTTCATAAATATTTTTTCCCATAAATTTATGTTGAAACATGTAATACTTTCTAAGATTTATGCGAATGTTTGATATTTTAAATTAAACTATATTTTCGGATTATTTTGCGGATTTATTTTGATTTTTGGTTCCCGACGCAAAGTTTGTTTGTTTGGCTGAAACAATGTATAATTTTATAACATTGAAGTACGTTTCGGGACACATACTTGACTATTTGTATCTAAATAAATTTTAATAAGACATTTATTATATTTTGTATACACTTTTACATACTTTACAGGTCTTTCAAAGTCATACAGAAACAAATCCTTTCAATGTTGAGGGTGATGATGAACTCTTTGAGCGACTTAAGAACAAAGAGAGGGATCCAATGAGCATGAGCTTTTATCAAGAAAAAGATGATGACACCTGTGAAAGATTTGGTAAAACAGAATCAAATGTAGACTTGAATGCGGTTCAAACTCTCCCAGATAGTGATGATGAAGACATTCAACCAAATGGGTATCAAAACACAGAAGAGATTGATAAAGAAAATGTTTGTCCCGAGGAGAGATCGAATTTATTAAACTTAGTAGAGAATGTGCTAGAACCAAATAATGATATTATGAGGTTCGATGAAAGGTCCGACGTTATTAGTAACAATGTATCAAATTTAGACAATTTAATGGATTACAGCAATCAAAATTCAAACAACATGCAAAATTATTCAAATTCTGAGTTTGAATGCAATATACAACAAGAAACAGTTGCTCAAACTGACACACCTGAATCTCATAAACTTCTATTTGAGCAGATACCAGAAATTCCAGATGGTAAAAGTTCAGAACTAGGATTCAATAATGAAGATTTATTGGATCCTTCAGAAAGTGAAAAAGATGCTCGAGCTATCACTCCTCAAGATGAAACTTCACAAGATATTGAAATGGAAAGCAAACATGATGAGTCACCATCTGATGAAGCCAGGCATGAAATCATTGAAGAACTAAAAGATGACCACATAGAGGATGATATATCTGAACAAACTGAATCAGAGAAGTTAGAAAATGAAATAAGATTGGATAATGCTATTAGTCCAGAGGTATCGGAACTAGCTACCCCTGAACCTTCAAAGGAACTAGAGGAAAATAAACCATCTTCACCAGAATTGACTCAGGAAAATGTCGTGGTAGATGTCCATGCAGATCCTGAACACTCCATTGATACATTTATACAGTCCAGTGTAGCTGAAGATCAACAGGAATTGTTTGACGAGTTTGAAAGTAACCAAGACAAATTAGAACCTGCAATAGAGGCTCCTGAAATTAGACTAGAGGCTGAAGCCCCTGAAGTTAGTCTTGAAACCGAGGACAAGGATAATGAAGAACAAGTTGAATCTGAATTACTCGAGGAGTCTCCAGCACAATCACCTTTACCAACTGAATCCTTGTTACCGAGTGGGTCTTTATTACCGCGCGAATCACCTTTACCAAGCGAGTCCCCATTACCGCGTGAGTCGCCATTACCGCGCCAGTCGCCTTTACTACGCGAGTCGCCTTTACCGCGCGAGTCGCCTTTACCGCGCGAGTCCTCATTACCGCGTGACTCTCCGTTACCGAGTGAATCTCCATTGCCGCGAGAATCTTTAATATCTAAAGAGATTTCACAGCCGCATGAGTCTCCATTGCCGAGAGAATCTCCGTTATCGCGAGACTCTCCACTGCCGCAAGAGGCTTCATTGCCGCGAGAATCTCCACTGCCGCAAGAGGAGGAAATTGTGCCCCAAGAAGCTTTATTGACACAGGAATCACTGCAGCGAGAGTCACCAGTCCCAAAATCCCCATTACCTTTAGATTCATTCATGACAACAGGGTCCCCACTGCCTCAAGAGACCCTAGTACCTCGAGAATCATCATTGCCACGGGAGTCACCGTTAGGTCAAGAGCTGATACGTGAGTCCCCACTACCAAGCGAATCTCCACTACCACAAGAGTCATTGCAGCCAGTTTCTCCAATGCCCAGTGAGTCTCTTATTCCTTCAGAATCACCTGTGCAAAGTGTACCTGAAGTAGTTGAACCTTCTTTATCTATTTCAAAGTCACCACTCCCAACAGAAATAGAGGTTACAGAGTCCCCTGCACAAGCACTGTCACCCTTACCTTCACAGTCACCTATGCCACAGGACACCTCCGAGCCTCTAGTACCGGCCGAGGTACCCTTACCTAGAGAATCCCCATTACCAACTGATTCTCCTGTAGTTGAGGATATTTTAGAACCAGTGCATGTTGATGAAATTACACAAAACGTCGAAATTTCTAAATCACCCCTACCTTCACAAACATTTGATGAACAGTCTACAGCACAGGTACCTGTGGAGTCACCAGTTCCTAGTACAGAAAAAGAATTAATTATGCCTGACCAACAAGCTTCTCCCATTCCAGTTATACAAAGTGAGAGTGAAATGGAACTTCACGGGGCGCAGCACGAGGAGCAGCAGTTAACAGAGAAGTCCGAACAGATAGACGAGTGTCTTGAAGCAGTCGAGACATCGACTGCAAAGTCGCCTGTACCTGTAGAATCTTATACTGAAGTGGCACCTACAGAATTAGTTCCCACAGAACCAGAGAGGCCTAAAAGTCAATCTCCCGCTCCCGTGGAACAAGTTTCTGAAGTCGAAGCTAGAGTAACACCTACAATTCCAATAGAAAATAGTGAAACGTCACAAGTCCAGGGAATAACGGCCGGATTTAGCGCCCCAGCGCCAGATATCGTTCCAGAGGAACGGCCGCGCACCGAACTAGTCACTGATATCGATATCGGTATTCCCGAGTCGCGAGCACAAGAGATCTGCGTCCCGGTCACCTGCGAGATACAACACAACGACGCCGTGCAGGCGGGCGCCGCGCCGCCGCCCGCCGCGCCGCCCGCGCAGCCCGCGCTCGGCGACGCGCCCATCGCCGCCGCCACCGCCGCCGTCGCCGCGGCCGCCGTCGCCGCCACCGCCGCGGTCGCCTCCGCCGCCACTAAAGCGAAACTCTCACCCAAGAAATCTCCTACGACCCCCACAGCGAAAACCGACAAGACTACCACGAAAGCAACGCCGAAAACTACTACCACAGCGCGAACACCCCTTTCGGCCAAGAGGCCGGCGTCCGCCACTACCACGCCGAAGTCGCCGGCCGCGGCGCCCGCGCGCGCCGCGCCGCGCACGCCGCTGTCCGCGCCCAAGGCGCCGGCCGCGCGCCCCGCCGCCAAGCCCGCCGCGCCGCCCGCCAAGCCTGCGCCCAAGCCCGCCGCCACGCGCGTCGCCCCCGCCCCGCGCCCGGCGCCCGCCGCTCGCGCGCCCGCTAAAGCACCAGCGGCTAAGCCTGCCGCGCCCAAGCCTGCGGCGCCGGCCAAGTCTGCCTCGGCGCCGCCCAAGCCCGCTGCGCCGCGTCCTGCGCCAATCACCCGCCCTCCGCCTGCCGCTGCCAAGCCCAAGGAAGTGAAGCCCAAGCCGCCGCCCATCACCAGGCCCGTGACCAACGGCGACGTGAAGGCCCCGGCCAAGCCGCTGCCGCGCGCGCCCGCCGCCGCCGCCCGCCCCGCGCCGCGCCCCACGCCGCGCCCCGCGCCTGCCACTGCTCCAGCTAAGTATGTCTCAATTTAATTATTTTACTATCACCTGCTTATAAACATTGTATTTCATTATTATTGCTCAAATGTTTGCTACACTAATATTAAACTTGAAATCACGCTAAAATAAAAATCTTGCAGATAGATCAATGATATTTATTAAATATGATATTATAATTCAAGGCCAGCAGCTCCCAAACCCACGGCGCGCGCACCACTCGACAAGCAGAGCAAGGACCTCGCCAACAAACGCATCACAGCTAAAGCCGCTCCCCCGAGGACTGCAACAACTAAGGTACTTGCATTCTTATGACAACATAATCTTCTAAAACTATTAGATTTGTAGGTAAGTCACTAAGATAAAAATAATAATATTAATAGTACAATTCGGTCCGGCAGGCCCCCGGAGGCATAAAGAGCGTGGCGAAGAGGTCGCTGGATAGCAAGAAGGAGGCGGCCAAGCTGGCGAACGGCGTGGAGGCCGGCGGCGACGCGCTGCTGCCCGACGTCATCGCGTAGATTCCGATTCCTATTATTTTCCGCTTGAATTTTGTGATTTTCTATAAGTGTACGATAGTTGTAACGCCGCGCGGCGACGCGGCCACGTTAGGTGCGGGAGCAGTCTCCCATTTCATATTATAGAGTCGCTTCTATAGACGTACGCGGTGCGCGCGCTGTACGGACTACGGCCACAGCGCCATCCACTATTACGAGTCTGTTTAGAATTTTTATATTACCAACGAATGATTGATTTTAAATCTGGCTTTTAATTTATTTTCTTTGTATAACCGTATTATTTAAATAAAATCGTGAAGAAAGGACTGACACATTGTTTTATTTATAGTAGTATGGATTTATGACTTAATAATGATAAAAAGTAAAAAAAAAATGTTTACTTAATAACTACATTTACTTAATGTCAATGTTTAACTTAAATATCATGGTGTTACAAAGAAATACTAAAATAGAGCATTTTATTCAAATAAATGGTTATATTACCCTCTTTTGTTTTTCTTTCCTCTATTTCTCCATCCTCCATTATTCTGTTACTAATTTATATTCACTCTATTAATAAAATACCTTACGCAATTTGTCCTTTTTTATTTAATTGGTCATTAAAAATTACTGTTGTGGACGAATGTGATTTGTTAAATATATATTTCAAAGTCGAATATTTTTTTCAAATTAAAAAAAAACAACATTTTTATTGTTACTAATTTTATATTGATAATTTATCTGACCTTTCAAAAACGCATTGAAATAAAAAAAAAGGTTGCAGTCATAAATACATAAATGAAATATTTCAATTTTCAAGAATACCTTATCTATATAAATAGGCTCGACCAATTCAGCTAATTTTTTTTTCGTATGCCCCTTAGGAACATGGAAAGTTTTAATAAAGAGGAAAAAATATAAAATAAGATAAATATATAAAACAAAGGTGTTAGTTACACTATTTATAACTCGAGAACGGCTGGACCAATTTTTATGATATTTGATTTTTTGGATTTCTCTTAGTCCAGAATAGGATAATAAGTATTAAAATATCTAAAAAATATTAAAATTTATATTGCTAACGTTGGCTAATAACTATTTATATCTATTTAAAACTCTTTATTCTTTAAAACGGTGAGACGCTAGTATACAATAATATACACGAGAAATTGAAATATAATGTAACTACTATCTACCTTAAAGTTTTATTGTCTGGCTTCAAAAAAGTGTAGGCACATACCTACTCTATTAGGCTGCAAGATTTTGTGTGTGACATCTCCATCAAATAAAAATTTAAAATAACTTTTTTCAATATATAGATTATATATTAAATTCAATTTTACATAAGCAAAATATTTTTTAAGTGATTAAATTAAAAAAAGACATTTTTTAAAATGAACTTTATTATTTTTTGTATTTCTAAATGTGTAATAGAATTATATTAAAATGCTTATAACATTATGTACATACAAACTTACAATATATACCTATATGTAAAAAGATTAGGTAAAGAATATAATACATCATTCTTTTTCATAATAAATATCGTATTACAAAATTATTGCATGTGTGGAAAGCGTAGATCTGTATCACGTAGATTGTCAGCAATCCATTTGTTGGCTTCAGCTGTCATCTCTTCATCAAAGTAATCGCACCAGCCTCCTGCCTTGCCTAACAAAATAATTACGAAATTTTTATTTAGCTTTACACCAAAGGATTCATTCAATTTAAAATAAATTTTAACTTCCGGTGAAATAAAAATAATGGCAACATACACACACAACGTTTATATTAGTATTACATGCAGCTTGCATTAGCATACTTTAACGCCACATTGTATAATCTTGTTTATTTATGTACCTTTTCTTATAAAACTTGCTTGATCCGTTTGTAGAATACCGAGTTCTCGCATGACATCGTAGTTAACGGATTTATTTTGCTTAAAATTTTCAATGCTAAGATGATCACAGAGACGCTCTATTTGTTCCTCTGTGAACTGCTTGCTGAAAAAGTTCATTACTCGTCGCACAGCTAATGGTAGATCCTAAACAAATATATTTTTCTATTAAGAAATAAAATCTACATAATTCAGTTATAACACGTGTAGGTATAAATATTTACATTTCACTGTATACATATTATGAACATTATTAAAAAACCCATACAAAGAAATAGCATGAAATAAAGAACGATAATTAAAAAAGTGAAATCAAGTAATTGATGAATATAGAATGCATTGTTCGCATTAAGCAGTAAATATTAAACTGTAGCTTTTGTTCTTAAATTTCATAAAAAACCAGCCAGACGTTTCGGGCAAATAGTAACAAACAATAAACCTACACACACATACAATTTTTCGCATTTTATAGTATTATAATTTATAAATTATAATAGTGCGATTTCGATTATATAATACGGGTTTAAGTAGAAGTACTGCTATATATTACCTTAGAAAGCTCTTCGTAAAATAAAAACAACATATTAGGATGATTTCTCTTTTCCCATGACTCCTTAAGGTGCTCGAAAAAGGGTGTCCAGTGATCTGAAAATTAAATCTAAGTTCTATAAAGCAGCCAACAATAATGTTTGATTAAATATGGGGTTCTATCGAGATCAAAGAAAAATTTGTTCATATAAATATCAATAGATGGAGCAATATATTAATAAAAAAACAAAAGGTTCTGATATGAAAAAAAAACTAAGTTTAGGAAATAGATGGATTTATTAAATTGTACTGCATATTTATATCAGTTTGACGAGGATTCAACTTTTAATAAAAATGATAGACACAGGACACTGAACTTTGTTTTATTAATCCCCGACGAAAAAAGAAGGGTGTTATAAGTTTGACGTTGATGTCTGTCTGTGTGTGTGTGTGTATGTGTCTGTTTGTGCTGCTCTCAAACGGATGGAGCGATTTCGATGTGGTTTTTTTCACTTGAAAGCCAGTTTTCTTGCGGTGGTTCTTAGCTATGTTTGGTTAATATCGGTCTAGCAGTGTAAGACTATCAGCTCTTTTCCAAAATGATGTAAGGCATTTGGCGTATAATTACTTGATTAAGTGCTTCACGCCAGTGTAATTGTTAAATAACAATTAATTTGCGTAGGGGGTTTTTGAAATTTTAATTAACTTTATGTAAAGCAAAATGACATTCGCGCGAACGATCAACGCCATCTATTATCCATTTATTAAACAAATAAATATTATCCAAATTAGTGGCGACTAATTTGGACTATATCTGTGTATGGGATGTAAAAGATTCCCAACTAATAATACTGTACTAGTATAATATTGGGTCATCTGAGATATACTCGTAGTCCACTGAAATAAGAGGCAAATTAAAGTAAGGTTACACTGATTGAGTTTGTTGGCAGGGAATAAACGGATAATGCAGTTCGTTAATTAAGTTCGAGAGTATAAAGATTAGTTATATTATATCGTATTATTTTCTTGTTCATCATACTACAGATGACATAATACTATACTAGTACAGATGACATCCTATACAAAAAATTGTACAACCATAAATCAGGCTATTTTTACCCGACTGCGGCGAAGCCCAACGGAGGGTTATTGTTTGCTTCAATATAAGATAATATATTATGTCGTTGGTCTGCAAACTCACAAACTGTTATATTTTACAAATATATGTGTACTAAAATATGTAAAATATAGCAAAATTCATCCTGCATTTAAATAAACAATTTCAATGGCTTTCAACTTGGATAAAAAAGTCACAAGAAATAAAAGCGCCATCTGTAAATACGCACTACAAACCCATTACTTAAAATCTGATTTTCAATAGTCAATAAATTTGATTCACCGGCACTTATATTTCGTTTTCCTTCATTTAGAATATTTTTAGAAACCATAAAATACCTTTTTTTTATATATCTTTTGTTAATTTAACGCAACTTCAATAAATCGATACATGTAATTCCATCTATTGATATTTATTTGAACTAATTTTACTTTATTTCTCATGGAGACCTCATTCATGCTTATACTTGTTCATTTTACCTTTATATACTGAAAAAAAACTTGGCTATCTACTTACGCAAGTCTTTTATGAAGAAATTCCAGTATTGTTTAAAATCGCCGATGTAGCCCTGTGTCCTCATTGCCTTATTTAAATGATAAAAAGATACAACAACATCTCTCGGGTCGCGGGCGACGTATATCACTTTGGCGGTGTCGAGTAAGTTCGGCGGAAGCAGTGAAAGGGGCAGATGTGTTTTAACAAAACGAGGTGAGGGCGCTTTCGCCAATTGTTCTGTTCCTGGTTGACACACAAATTCAAGGAGTTCCAGTTTTCTTTCACTATCTTTATTCTCATCATGGAATCGCTGTTTCATTACTGGATGCACGTATACTGAGAATCTGAAGAGAAACAGTCCTTTACCGATTTCAACAACGGGGTGGAGGATATTTAGCATGTTTATGTTTTTAAATCAATTCAATTATGAATCGATTTTAGTAATTTTTTATTCAATGAAAAGATCGAGAGTCAGAAGTGAGTCAGTCGGATTTCCTTAAATACCTTTTTAGTTACAATGTAATTATTATTTACGATAATAAAGTAGGGGTATAAGTATCACTAGTTATTTGTATCTACTATATATAAAGGATAAATTTCACTTACTCTAGAAAAGGATATCTTTCAGTAAGAGGTGTCGCATTTGATTTTTCATAATTTAAGTCATTCGCTACCATCCAAACTAGTTCCTGTGTCCAAGTTGTGCCTGGAATAATTAAATAAAAATTAAAGTTACAAAATACAAATGCCAAATTTTTCAATGTGGCTAAAAAAAACTTTATCTAAACTAGATTAGAGCTTTATTCTAGGCAGACCACACAAAAACGACACCACACAAAAAGTTTTAATTAGCTACAAAATTTAAAACAAGTTATATGGAGTTAAAATTTAAATAACACAATATAGTAGTATATTTTAACAATTTAAGTTGTCGTCTGCGTCTCATAAAACAAGTAGGAATGTAAATAGAAGCCGTCGCCTAGTATTATCATAAATAATAACACATTTACGTTTCAGATTACAAAGTAGCATTGCTTGCAGTTTTAGATTAGCGTTTAATCGTGTGACATACTCGTATGTAATTTATAAATTGAATGCTGATCTTAGGCGTAGACTTTTCTAATTTCACTATATATCGAAGGAATTTTGCTATCAAAACAATACACACTTTGAAAATAACACAAATATGTTTTACATCATCCATTTTATTTATAACCTTCTCGTAAGGGACTAAAGTTAAAAATAATTAAAAGAAAGTTTGGTAGTTCGTAAGGTTTAATTTTAAAAGTTATTTTAATGACTTTACCCTAACCTGATCGAGGATAGCTAGCAACAAACACGTCTGATGGGCGGATGTCCATATTATATATGTTAAGGGCTTCCTGCCTGAACTTGTGCGGTAGAAAGTAACCCTTCGATCCCACGCGTACGAACCCGGTGTGTTCACCTGAAATTTGATTAAAAATGTATGTCAATAAATAAACTTGTAATTTGTTTGTTTTACTCGACTGTTGCAAAGCCTGGGTTGTGTGTTTGAGCTGTATGTACGTCCGATCCTATCCTTCCCTTGTAATTACTAAACGGCTCAATTAACCACTATATTTAATGCTAATAATTTTTTCAACGAAGTATCATACACTAGACCAGCAAAACTCAACATGCGGGCCGCCGGCTCTTTGTTATTGGCTCATCTGAAGTTACATCTCAGAGTTGGCTTCCGTTTTAAATTGTAATTACTCAGAGTTGTTTGATGAGTTCATCGATTTTGAAAACGATACCAATGTAGAAGTTCTGTTTAAAGAAAAAAGGGAAAACAGACCATGACTGAAACGTGTTTGTGGCCCCTATAAAAAAGGTTAAGTATGGCTGCTGCTGTATGCTGTAGACCAATAAAGGTTTAAAATAAGGGTATAATGCTATGGTAGTAATGAAGTGTATAATGTATAGGTAAACATATTCTGGCGCGATATTATAGGGTTAGAGGTGTAATATCTATCTAAACCTCGTAGTTCGTACTCATAGTCCCCATATTTTTGACGCTGAAAAAGTTAATGTTCGATTATGTGTCATCTTTTTATTTATATTTAAAGATATAGAGCGTAGGATTCTAAAGTAATATTTTTCATTGACGACTTATATTTCCGGCGACTCCTTAAAAAACCAATAATGGTTTTTTTCTCATTGAGCTTTAAAAACAAGTACTATGTATTTATTAAATACGAGTAAATATGATGATTAACCAGCATGAAATTTCTATCATACAATAAAAAATAGTTTGCTTTAAAAATCAATTGATAGAAACGTGCGCCTAATCAAGGTTTTAAGAAGTTTATATTACCTATAATAGCGATCAAATTGTTTGTTTATTAAAAAAAAACTCATAAGGAAGTTGAATTTTAATTATTGAAAATAAATGGAAAATTTGGCTGCGGAAACAAATTATGCTGACCTCGTCATTGTTATTCGATTAGAACTTAACTTTATTAGAGAATGGAGCCAAGGAAACTTTTTCTAAAGAACTTCGTTCGTTTTTTAAAAAGTCGAATCACAGTTTAATATTGAACTTATGTATATAGCCTTCAGAAGGGATTTTAAAGTAGTATTTCATTAGACTAAATTGTGTAAGCATCCCCATTCCATTGTAATTTTAGTTAATTCTAAAGGGGGTACTGTTGATGGGTGTTACGAGAACAATTAACCATTTCTTTAGTGTTGTGTTCGGTACCTGTATATAAGAATTTCAGTGATTGAAACGTATACGAGTGATTGAAACGTCGTAATACATCCCCCCTTGCCTTACACTCCGATGCAAGGCTGGGTTGGTCATGTCTTTGAGTAATATTGCAATTGGAAGGTCGTGGTCGAAGGTCGTGATCGAAGGTCGTGGTCGAAGGTCGAAGGCTTCAAACAAATATTTTAGCACCTTGACATCCTAAGAGTAAATTAGGCATCTTTGTATAGGCTTGCTCGTAGTTCTCATAAGTTAACCTAATTTAGTTTTAATTTTTATTGCATTATTTGCCTAATGATGTATGTGTATACACTGTACAGTCTTCTTTCTTGTCTGTACAGTCTATTACTGGAGTTTTTAGACACCATTTTGGATAAAACTATTCGGAATAATCCTTCGAAACAACTCACAAACATTTTTAAAAACAAGCTTTTATTTAAATGCTCTAAAAAAGAAGAAAATAAACTTCAAACTCATCAATTTATTACATTACACAATTTAAATGTTTTTTTTTCTTAGAATTACTTATGTCAAGATCAAGTCATGTACATAATTTGTATTCTTGTTTTACATGTTATGTTAATTTTACATGTTTTAACATGTTTCTAATTCTAAGTCTGTTCTTTTCATCTCATGCGTCATTCTTCAAACTTTTTTTAAGTTCAGTTACAAGATTTGACCCGAACAATTTGACCTCAAAATCGTAATCGGCGACTCGAAATTTCGGACGGATTGGAACAACTAAGTTTTTGATCGCCATCTTAAATCCGCCATCTTAAATTTTTTTGTCAGTAGTTGACCCATGTCGGTCCCTACAACATTTGTTCGAACACTACCAAGTTATCTCTTTGCCGAGTTCTTGACCATCTTGTTTTCCGCCATTTTGTTTTTTTTTAACCACCGCTAAAATTTGCCCAGGGTCGATATTAGACACGATCCCTCTAAGTCTTACCGTTTATCCGGGTAGTAGTAAACCATCTCCTCAAAAAAGATGAACGCGGACTTCATTTTATTTTTCTTATTTTTCTCAGCAAACGCTTTAATTTGATACCCATATCATGGAAGTGCATAAAAAATAACTAGTCCACCATAGATCTTGGGGGGGTCCATCATAACGTCACTTAGCTATGTATTTTCATCTAAACTAAACGTGAATGCAAAATTTCATCTCAATTAGTTGAGGATAACTGCTATAAATAATTAAGTTGCAAGATTTCACCCGAACAAATTCACGTTCGGTAAAAAATGGGGTTTCTTCCGGTTTCAAAAGCTCTGACGTAATTGTAACATCCGAAACGTTGCTGTTCCAAAGTTGCCCGAGAACAATTCTGACCGTACGCTTCGCATAATCTAGATTGTGGGTTATCCGTGAGTAGTGAGTTTTGACTTGAACGAGAATCTCTGGTTAAGGTGACGTTGTATAGTGGTGTATATTATAAAATAACAAAATTATAGTAGATAATTAAAATATCTAATTATTTAAAGCCCAAGTGGCGGTAAACTATTATAGAAAATCTATTTATTCAACTAGTAAACAAAAACATTGTACCTATTTATTTAGACAGTTCTTATTAAGTTAGGGAAAATATTAATGTAGGTGAGATAGCGATATTGTGCGAAAATTATATTATTTTATAAAACGGCGAGTTTCTTTTCTTTAACAAAGAAAGATTAGCACAATACAAAGGAGAATGAAAATAATACCTAACTGTAACTTTCTCTGCAAAATATAATACCATAAAAATCTCATGGGTACTGCGAGAGGTATTGTTAAAAAATCAAAATAAGAAATCTTTTAAGCAATTCATTCATTATACATTAGAAGTTGTTTAGGCCTATTTTTATTATTATCTTATCTTAACGAGCTCAAATAACGCAATTTCTCCTATGCTATTATAAAGTTATTGAGTCTATCTACTAATAAACAACAATAAACTGCTGACTAGTAAGTCACACTACCTACTCATATAGTAATTATTTTTATCCATATTCGTTATTCCACTATGTATTTAAACAAAATTTAAAGTTTTTTAATGTTTATATTTTACGTTTAAAATATCTAATACTAGCGACTCATCCTCGCTTCACTCGGGTTCGTTCCTCGGTTGATTCCCCATACAAAATTTGATCCCCACTTTCACCCCCATAAGGAATGGTTTTCGGGATAAAAAACAATCTTCTTAAATTTTTTTAAAGTACCTAAAGGCGTTGGTTTGTTTATTTCTTAGGAGCAGTAAAATAACAAATATTTAATATTATATAGTAATATAAAATTATGTCGATTGTTTCTTTGCTGGGTACACAAAGAAATAATACGACACGAAAAAGTTATTGACCGTTGTTGATAAGTAAGTACCTATTTGGTGCAAGCTTCTGTTAGTTCAGACAACATCTTTATGGAAATGTAATTATCTGTAATATAGTTGATATAAACTTTTATAAATATTTGCGTAGTGCGGTAATCGTATCTCTTGGTTTGAACCATACTGGCACAAACTTCTGTTTGAGCAGCAACAACGGATACTACTAGCAGTAATATATTTACAGGATGACTGATTGAATTATAGTATGTAAATAGTTGTATATAAATATAATATAATACATAAATAAAGATAATAATGCTATGTTTCTACATTATAATAGCAGCACACATACATACATGCTCTTTATAGCGAAAAGTGGGTAGGTTACAATTTTAAATTATTTGACACGTTTACAGACTTGTCTTTAGTACTTAATTAATTGTTATTATATTACTATATAAAAAATGATATACGCATTTAATTACAGGAAAACAACACAGGAATAAAGGTTTCATACAAACTGTAATATATGTTTGATTTGGTACAATATATGTACTTAGGTAATTGTTATATATAACTTCTGTAGTAAGTAGTATTTATTTTTTAGTAAACATCTGTTCTAATAGAAAAGTTTTTTGATATGAAATTTGTTACAGCGGTTTATCCGTAAAAAGATAAGTTGGGTGAAAGAAACATAGACAATTGAATTTATTGATAAAATTAATAGGGATGGTGTTTTAGCAAATCCAATTACACTAAGAGTAAATGCTTATATATGTTTTCAAATGATGTACTTGTCGTATCTAGGAATATACGTATATCTATATTCTATACGTATAATAAAATAACCCTTTCCTTGCAGTCGGGTAATAATAAGTTGAATCTGTACATTAAATATTTTTTTGAAAAATCTTATTGTAATTAATAAATTATAGACTTTGTTGTCGATACATATGCCGAATCTATAGTTTTTAGATTTTTTTCTGAGCGCATTTTATTTGACCGCATCACCGAAAAACCACTGGAGGGATTTTGATGAAATTTGGTATGATGATAGCTGCTTATCCGGGTCAACATATAGGATACTTTTTACTGCGGGAAAGTATCTCATCTCTGATAAATTAAACTAAACGTTAAAACGTAAGTAGGGACGAACTCGAGCGGAGCGATGGTGAGTCGCTAGCACCTACGAGTATACCTATTATAAATATTTTGCTTATAGCTAAGCCCAAAAAAATTCAAAGATGGACCAAACAGGTTTGTTATTTTACTTTTAACCTTCATTAGCAATATCTAGTACAATTATTGTATCTATAAATATATGTATCTATAAGTATAGTATATGTATAAATGCATACTATTATATATTTTGCTTTTAAAAATTACATAAAATCAAAGATTTAACTTTGATTTTACTTTTTGAAAGATTTGACTTAATTTAACTTTTGATATTATAATTATTTTGCACCAGTTACATCATATAGTTATAAAATTAATATATTTACCGGTAAAATACTTCATTAGCATTTCTGCTGTTTCTTGATCGACATCTCGCATTTCCAAGGGATAATTATTATTTAATGTATTATCCATTTCGGTTCACTTATACTTAAGTTTTAAAGATTGTTTTGGTGTCACAAGGAGGGAGGTGAATGTGCGCGCGCGCACCGATCTCGGTCAAGCAACCAACTGTTGATCACAGAACACTTTTACTCAGGAGCTGTTGATATTCATTATTCAACTAAAGTACGTACCTACTATGAATTACAAGCGTGACCTAGATATTAAACTGTGGGTTTTCAATTAAAATAAAATACTTTTTATAGAATTTCTATGCCTATTTATTAATAATAATATTTTTTGTAAAGATTATAGATAAAATATGTATTATGCTCAGACCAATAAAAAAATTTTTATTGGTCTGAGGTATTATGTTAGGTTTTTTAACATACGTACCTAAGTAATTATTTTTACAAATTTATTGAAGGTGGTCTGAAGGAGTAACTTTTGATTTTTTCTAAAACTTTACATATACATAGTACCTATATTTTTAACACAAAATAAAAAATACCAAAGCATTGCAATGGGATCGACTTAATATAATTTTCAAGATATTGACATAATATATTGACCCCTATTCAACACGTACCTATAGAAGGTCATGTTTAGTAAACAACGGTCGGTTTAGTAAACCTACTTCCTAAGATTCTGACCATTTATCACTTAGTAATTAATATTTTGAAATAAATTAGGTACATCTAATATATAAAATTCTCGTATCACAGTGTTTCTAACAAAACTCTTCCGAAAGGGCTTGACCGATTCTTATGAAATTTTGTGTGTATATTCAGTAAGTCTGAGAATAGAACGTTAACTATTTTTCATACCCCTAAGTGATAAGGGTGGTCCACCCAAAAAAAAAAATATTTTTTTTGGACAATTTTTTTTATGATTCGGCATTAAAAAATACATACAAACAATGACGAATTTAAGAGTCTCAACCTTCAAACATTTTATTAATGTTACATCACTTTTATAAGAATTCTCTAGCCAAGGCAAATAGTTTTATGAATAATAAAAAACAGCAAGCTCAAACTGTTTATCTATTCTACACTACTTATCTACTAACTTTGTAACGACGAAATAATAATTCATATACATTTTTGGTGTGCAAAGTAGTCTTGAAATTGTAAAATAGTCATAAAGTAAAGTTATGCCGAGATGAGATAGTATTTGACTTAACCGAGATTGAGTTTTATTGCCATTTGTTAAATACTGGCACTGGTCTCGAAGTTGTTTCGCGTACCTACTGCCCTGGATTCTTGTATTTCGACTTAAAGACATGTTTAATTTATGTAACCAGAGTCTAAACCTAACGATATAATAATAACAAGAGAGAAAAATATATTAAGACAATCAAGGCATAATAAGCCTGTAATTTTTTTTATTATTAAAAAATATATTTTATTAATAATAAAAAAAATGTTTTTTAAAAATTGGAATATAAATATAATATAAATTTTATTACGTATATAGAAACTAAGTTATTTTAAAACTATTGCAACTTTTAGTTATTAAATATTGCTGTGTTATAAATATCAGGCGAAAATAATATTTCCTTTTTTAATTTAAAGTTTACGAGGATGGATATCTGGATGTATTGCGTGATAGAGTAACAAAATATGTACGGATATTTGTTACTCTATCACGCAATAACCACTGAATCGATTTAATGAAACTACAATTTTTTCCGGAAAAATGTACGGTTCCCGTGCGATAGACTTGGAAATTCAAAAATTCTAATAACTGGTTTCGGCCTCTGTATCGATAATAGTGACTATTTCAATAAGATTTTCCAAAAAATATTTAATGTACAGATTTGACTCAGTTAGAATTTTATTATATGTAGGTATAGATTTTGACATTTCGAGGAATGAAATAAAATCTATGTAGGTGCATGGTATAATAATTTTTAGATAATCTTTATACTAAATTACATATGTGGAAAACGAAAATCAGTGCTGCGAAGCATATTCTTGATCCATTCGTCAGCTTCGGCCGTCATCTCTTCGTCAAAATGTTCGCGCCATCCACCCGATTTCCCTGCAAAATATTAAATATTTAATTATATACCATATTGGTTGCGATATTATAATTATTATCTAATTTTATATTAACTTGAACAATATATTCTATTATAAATTAAAAATAATTTTATTAAAAATAGATTAATAAAGATCCCCTAATATTTAGTTTCTTATAGTTAAGTAAGTACTTTAAAAAGTAGTCATATTCTATACAGATATATAAAATTGATGTGTCTGTTTGTAATGTCCAAGTAACACAATTTCACTAAATAAATGTGAAATTATACACGGTATCTACTTATAAGAAAAATGGGTACATTTATTAAAATTTTTGTCTGTCTGTCTGTTTGTTCCGGCTAATCTCCGAAACGATTGGATTGATTTTGACGAAACTTTGACTGGCAGATAACTGAATATCTAAGAAGTAACTTAGGCTACTTTTATTTTAGAAAAAGAATTGGGGTTCCACTGAAAAAAATTAAAACGTACCTAGGGACGCACCCGAGCGAAGAGAAGGTAAGTCGCTGTGTCAGTCAGTGTTTAAATAATAATTACCCTAATACCAGAACTGTAGGTTTTATAAGTTTGGGATCTTTATAGGTTTATGCAGAACATTATCAGTTATTACCTTTCCTGACGAAGCCGCCATCGTTCCTGAATATGCCGATTTTTTGAAAGTCCTCCATGTTTACTGATTTATTTTTTTTAAAGTTATCGAACTTTAAGTGTTCGCTGAGATTAGCTACTTCATCATCAGTCAGTTGTTTGTCTAAGAATTTTGCGACACGTCGAATGCCTGATGGTAAGTCCTTCAAAGAATAAAAAGGTTTTTAACTTTATTTTTAACTTTATTAAAATCTCTTAAATTATATTCTACATAAATAGTAGGCTCTACATGCTTTGTGGACAAAATTAAGATACGCCATATTTGAACTATCAATCGTAACAGAACCAACACAAGTAGGAAGACTAACACTTTTTATTAATTTATTATATTATTTTTATTTATATTATTATTTTTATTAATTTTAGTGAAATTTATTTATTTATTTATTAATAAATAAATAAATAAACTTCACTAACAACGTGGATTAGCTGTGACCAAGAAACAGAGGTACAAACACATTGCACACGTTCTATTATATAAGAATTATAGTATTAAAGAATTAGGTTATTAAAAAATGAGCTCATAAGTGCTACCTTTACTAAATCTTCATAGAATAAAAATAGTAGGTTTGGATGATTTCTCTTCCCCCATGCTTCCAGCAAATGTTCAAAATACGGTGACCATATAACTAAAATGGAAAGAAAAATTTATCCAAAGTATATTTAGTAGACATTGGTTTTATTATAGTCTGCGTCACGATATAAATCACAATTGGTTGAGGCCAAGACGCCAAGAAATCGAAAGGAATTGATTGCTTTAGAATTACTCATTAATTACCTTTGTTTTCCATAAAATATTTCCAATATGGCTTGAACTCTGGCTCTTGGCTCATGACTCGCATCAGCTTTTTGTGATGGAAGAAAGAGACGGCAACATCACGTGGATCACGAGCTACATACACCACCTTGATTAACAGGATTATATATATATATCTACATATTATTATTTTTCGACTGTAGGCGAAACCTAAAGGAGAGTTGTGTTCGACTTGTATGTATGCAGTATGTATAACTACTTCAGTGGTCTAGTGGCCAGCATGTACGGCCGTAAATCCGTAGATCCTAGGTTCGAGTCTTGAGTCGGGCCAAATTTATTTATTAATTCTGTTATGGAAAGCCCAGAGTTGGGAAATTGGCAGTTTTAAGCCAGTTGTTTCCTTGCCTTAAATGTCGGCGCCGGTCGTGTTAAAGTATCGTCCAATGAGACTTTGAGAGTGAAAAGGAATAGAGAGTACACAATGTGTCTACGCGTACACTTGGGCATTATAATATCTCCTGCACAGTTGATTACTCTTAGTGATATTGACCGCCGTGGACAAAATCAGTCAAAAGTCGTATAGTATTTAGAAATTTTAAAAAATCAATATGACGGATTTCACGCGAAAACTTGTGTCTTGAAAAAAATATACGTGCTTCCACACCTATCTAGTCTGGGTTTATATTTATTATATATGGGCATTTACAAAATTATACACAACAAATTGTTAAATCTAATAAAATTCTAAGTACCTGGGCGACCGAGCTTCGCTCGGATTTTTGCCCAGAAAAATATTAAAAAAAAAACAAACTCAAAATTTGAATAATTAACATATGTTTTAAATGTGTAGTGTACATTTAAATAGTAACAATAAAATTTCTACGTACCTTTGCAGTATCTAATAGATTTGGTGGAAGAAGAGACATAGGCAAGTGAGTTTTGATAAATCTTGGAGATGGCAATGCCTTTATTTGGTCAACGGTCATAGGCATCAACGATTTAATAACAGATTCATCTACCGTGGCCGGTAAATCAGTAGACGGCGGATGAGGCGCTATAGTGCTCTCTCTGAAAAAATAACAGATTTGATAACTCTATCTATGTATCTAATTCGTTCGGATTATACAGAAGTATTATATATATTTATTCAATACTCATATTTTAAATATTTGGAGGATAACATAAAAAATCGAGGACCTACGTTTTATCCTCAATTAACGGACACTTCACAACGAAACTTAGAATTCTGCCTCAATAGATTGTGTCCCAATAAAAATACTCGTATAGCTAGCTATTTAGTTGTATGTATTCGTATTCAGCCCTTTTTAACGTCCCACTGCTGGGCACAGGCCTCCCTTCAGTACGAGGGAAATCAGGCCATAGTCCACCACGCTGGCCGATTGCCGGTTGGCGGACTTCACATGTCTTTTGAAAACTGGCTAGCTTCTCTCAGACATGCAGGTTTACTCACAATGTTTTCCTTCACCGTTAATACAAGTGTTAATCATGTTGGAAATGAATCGCACATGAAAATATCAGAGGTGCGAGGCCCGGGATTTGAACTCGCTTCACTCGGCTTCCCAAGCGAGCGCGTTACCACTTGGCTACCACTGCCTTTTTATTATATGCTCTGTACTTATAATTAAAAAAATACTTACTCTAGAAATGGAAATCTGTCGTTGAGCTTTATAGCTTTAGCTTTTTCAAAGTCTAAATTATTTCGAACCAACCAAACAAGCTCCTGCATTAAAGTTGTACCTAAAATTTTCAGTTAAGCTTAAAAATACTTCACAAAATGTTTATGCAAGTGACACTCTTTGATTTATATGTTTTGACTTCTTGATCAAAATGTAAAGAAACTTTATAACTCTACTCGTTATACTAGGGTATTGGGCGGTGCATTTGATGGCAATACATACTCGTAAGGTTTTTGTTATTTGTTCACAACATCTCAATACATGAAAACTAACATATTTTCATATAAGACACGAAAAAAATAGTCGGTTTTATTCGCCACCCCACTGGCTAAGTTTAGAATTAATTAAGAATTATTATTTTTACCTGTAGAAAATTGTGTTATTTGGAAAATTTCCACTTTGAAAGCCAATTTGGATTTGTATTGTTTGTAGTCATTATAATAAGAAAATAATTAATAATAATTGTAAATAATTAGTTAGTACCTGTGCGACCTAGAATTTTTGGCCAAAAGTACAATTTTCTTTTAAAAAGAACTAAACTTGAATAGGTAAATACAAAAAAAAACAAAAGAAAAATCTTTGTATCCGACCGGAATTCGAACCTGTGACTGTGATTTTTGACACCTTGGCCGCTTGACTACGATGCGCTTTTGTCCGAGCGTGTGAAATTACCGGCCATATTTTGAGTGGAATAATGAGAAAGAAAACCACATGAGAACTCGAAAACACGATATACAAAAATCCTAAACATAAAACTAATCTAGATCGATTTTTGGCCCTAGAAAACCCCCATATACTAAATTTCAGCGAAATCGTTAGAGCCGTTTCCGCAAGGTCGCCGGTATATATTAATAAATAAATATACAAGAATTGCTCATTTTAAGGTATAGATAGATATAAATATAATTGATTACCTGATTTTGGGAAAGTTGCAACAAAAACGTCATCAGATTTAATTTCCATGTTGTAAATGTTTGGAGCATGTGTCATAAAATAGTCGGAGAAGAAATAGCCTTTGGGTCCAATGCGAATGAAATTCATTTGGAAGCCTAAAGAGGTTTACATTATTATAAATATTAATAAATCATATGTATATGTATTTTATATATAAGCACATAATAAGTAGTATGTTCAAATGTTGCCTCGGTGGTGTAGTGGCTAGCATATACAGCTGCACATCCGGAGGTCCAGGGTTCGAGTACGAGGCCACGGGTGTGCCAAATTTAGTTGTACCAGTTTAGTATACAGTAACAGCCCGAAGTTGGGAAATTGGCGGTTTTTCACCCCCTGCCTCGGAGAGCACATGTCGCGTCGGTCCTGCGCCTTAACTATAACCGGTCGTGTCGAGCAGTCGTCCCACCGGAATTTGAGAGTGACAGGAATAGAGAGTATACTTGTGTCTACGCGCAAACTTGTGCACTATAGAGATATCTCCTGCGCAGTCTAATCTCAATGACATTGGCCGCCATGACCATGGAATCGGTCGTGAGGACATTATTATTAAGTAGTATTAAAATTATTTCCACATAATACCATTCATGTAATCCATTAACTCTTTGTTTTCTTCTGGAGATAGCTTCTCATATTCGTATGGAAAATTATTATTATCACTCATTTTGCACAAGGGTGTAAGACACTGAACGTTCAATAGCTAATATTTATTCAAACTAAGATAATAACTTATGATCGAGTATATATATTGATTGAAGTTATCATTATCTCACTATCTTCAATGCGAAAACCCCTTGGAGAGTAAGATTATTATCTCTATCAAGTATATTTGATATGTTTATCTTATCAAATTGACTGGGTCTTGTGAAAATATTGTTAAAAATAGTTAAGACAAGAATATTTTATTCATGGTCACGGGAGAGTCTCTCCCTATATATTTATAATAATAACAGCTAAAATTATAAAATAAATAATATTGCTATATTTAATTATAATACTTTTTTTATGTTTAGAAATAAAAATCAATAAATATTGTAAGGTACTTTATTTTTGAATTGTTGAAATCATTTTTGTAAAATAAAGGGTAGGCACTGTCTGTATGTGTTTGAGACGTCTATAACCTTAGTCTCTCCTGTGACCATGATTGCTGTAGCTTTACATTACAATGCTTATTCGAAACGTCGGGAACTAAAAATGAAAATAAATCCGCGAAATAATCCGAAAAGATAGTTTTAGGTATTTATAATGGCAAATATTCGCGTAAATCTAAGAAAGTATTAACAAGAATATTTAACAATAATTCATTCCTGGAACCCGAACAACAATCATAGCTTTTAAATATCTTTGTAAACTCTATTCCAATGAGGTTGAACTTTGAACTTTTAAGTATGCGATAGGTACCTCCTTACCTACATCATAAGAAGAAAAATTCTATAAATACGTCATATCCAAAAATCTACGTAAATAAATTAAAAAAAACATGAAACTTTTTAAAGCCATATGCGGTAATTTTTAAACTATTTTACTTTTATTGACCCGTGCCGAATGTTACGTTTTAACAATTAGTATAGATTTCTCAGAGATGAGATATTTTCCCGCAGTAAAAAGTAAAGTAAAGTTTCTTGTGATGCGTTCCCAGACAGACAGAAAAAATGTCTAAAAACTATAGATTCGGCCTCTGTAAATCGATGTATAAAAATCAATGATAATGACTATTTCAATAAGATTTTCCAAAATATATTTAATGTACAAATTCGACTCAGAATTTTATAATATCATGTATAGAAATACTAACGTCACACTTCTTCGTATAAATTGTTACGGTAGCAGCAAATAAAACCAATAACCTGCAGTTTATCAACAATCTGCCCACGCAGCCGCTCCTAATTCGAGAAAATCTAATATTAGAGAACTACTTATCCTAACTGCAACTACGGAAACGGAAAATTTGTAAGATAATTAACAATCCCAATGTACTATCTTACCTACTGATCTTGATGAAATGAATTATGAGCTATAAGACTGTGAACTTCTTAAAAAACTTAATGTTATCAAAGTGACCTAATTATATTAATTACTGCTTACAACACGGTTATTTTTCGGATTCCCTAAAGTTCTTAAGAAACTTTATCCTATCTACAAGACGGGCTCAAAATTAGACACTGAAAATCAGTCCCATCAACATTCCATACATTCGGCTTTATACATATCTAATAAATAAATAAATATGTTGGGACGACACAGCACCATCTAGTTCCATGGTTCCATAAGGCTTCCGTTTTGTATACCATATAGTTGATACACTATACACATATATAAATTTAAATACTTACATATTATAAATATAAACACTCTGACTGGATTACAAACACTTATGTTGATCACACAAATGAATGCCATCAGCGGGACTCGAACCCTCGATTGTTGGCATAGCAGTAGCACAAACCAAACGTGTCGTCAATATTGAATATCTAGAAAATATTAGCTCTAGCTGCCACCACTGATATAGACACAAACTTAAGGAATAGTATTCATTATAAAATTAAAAAAAAGCCGACTTCCAGGCACTGAAATGTAAAAAATAACTAAACGAAGGTTTTCATTTAGAATAGATACCTAATCAGATATTTTTGAGGTCGGTGCCAGCTGATGCATATCAAATCTAATATATTTCGATACGTAAAATACATATTTACCTATTAGATATTCATCTCTCAAAATATTGTCGGCTTAAACCCTTTGAAACAAAAAAAATATATATTCCAAATCGGTTCAGGCGCCTTCGAGTAATCGGTGAACATACATAAAAAAAAGGATTCTGACGAATTGAGAACCTCCTCGTTTTAGGAAGTCGGTTAAAAATAGGCCAATAGCCTCTAGGTGTTTTTATTGATTTGGAAAAGGCATTTGATATGTTACTTATACAAAAGTTATACAATTCAGGAATCAGACACGCTGCTTACGATATTTTGTGTTCATATCTTTTCAACAGATGTGCAGAGTCACCGTCAACGTTTAACTTTCGGCATGTCAACTACCATCAGGGTTCTTAGCTTACTGTTCATTCTTTTTTTATAAATAATATCGATGATCTAAATCACACTATTCGTTGATGATATCTGTTTATTTTACTGTGACAGCAACATTAAACCCGTAATAATTAGTCAAGCACATTTAAATTGTATTTATCAATAGTTTCAAGAAAATTTCTTACCTGCTATCAATATAAATAAATATATATATATATATATATATATATATATATATATATGTATATAATATTTGAATTGAATAGAATTGTATTCTTTTTTTACACGACTGCAAGGAAAGGATTATGTTATTCGCGCTTATCTTTTTGTATGTTTGTTTGTTTGTAATATTCTTTATTTCCTCATATCTTCCAAACCACTCGATGGATTTCTGTAATTAAGGTATCGTTAGATTCATCTCATTAGTCAAGTGTTCTTAGATAGGTGACATAAGAAAATATAAATAAATATATGGGCTGCTAGATTTTATTTTTTAATGTGAATTTTTTATTAATCTTCTTTTTCTGCAATATGGGTATCAAATTAATGGGTTCATAAGGATTCAAAAAAGGTATAACATCCCTGTATTGTTCATTTTAAATCATTATATATCCTAAACTTTATATATAATGATTTAAAAAATGGTTAACAACCATTCTCGCTAATTTTCCTACTTAAAAATACTTAAAAAGCTGTAAATACATAAATCTATACTATAATAAAACTGTAGAGGTCGAATGTCTGTACATAGAAAAAAATGCCAAAAGTCGAGTCAGGGGGTGTAAAAAGAGAAATAGAACAAATCCAGATTTTTTTTTAAATTTTCTTGTTTCTCTGTCTGTTTGTCTGTTTGTACGGGTATACATACGAGTAAGTATGTACATTTAGCGGCAAAAATGGAACGACTGCATAATAATTAATACTAGGTATATTTCTTCGTGAACTGGTTTTCATCTTTTTAGTTAGCTTTTATGCCGGCGAGATTTTTTTATTTTTATAAAATATTTATTTATTGAGGAAATAAATTCCCGTAAACCGTAATTCTTCTGGATCTCCCTAAAAGATGAATAATAATATTATATATATATATATATATATATATATATATATATATAATTCCACAGGGATGTATTTTAAGTTCATTTTTATTTCTCTCTTCTTTAATTTCCCTATTTACTAACTTAACATTGCAAAGTTAATAATAATGATAATCGTTTATTTCTCAAAAAGACTTATATATTGTAGTTGATAAACATTTAGTACAGTACAATTTGAAACAAATAATTTAAATTATCATTAGTTAACAGCGCACTATCTTATATACCTACTCAGTGGGGCATAATTCAAATTAATTTAATGCTATATTTAATATGTTAAACCAGTGGGTTTAACCCATCAATGCCAAAAAATGTACCTAAACAATTTTATATTTCCCAAATGTTTTATCAAATTTCAGTTTGCTTAGTAATTGAGATTACATTCTTAATTCTGCATTTAATAGTATTTTTAATATTATTAAAAATTCATTTTTATATACATTAACAAATATTTTTTGTATTACATGCGTTATGATATCCTTTGTTATCTATTTAAATTTTTATAATAACTTTTGCACTTTATTAATTAGCTATATAATATTTCATGTAAAATTATTAACAATTGTCTCGGGCGTGTTACTCTTGCCTAAATACAAAAACTTAAGTTATATATGTAAAGACCTCATGCGGAATGATTTTCGCGTTTTATGACGAAAACGTTCAATTAGGGGTGTCTTCGGTTTTGTATGCGCTTGTAACATATATATATATATATATACTTTTTATATATAAATATATTACTTGTTACTATGTACTTATTAATTGTACATTGTGCTTGCGTGTTTGTATATTGTATTAAACACCTGAATGAAAATACGCTTCTTGATTCCCAGTTCAACTAATACATAGGTAAAGGATATAAACATATGTATACTTACTTACTAGCAGAACTCGCGGTTTCGCTCGCGCTAAAACTACAAAAAAATCTCTAAGAAGGTAGTTTCATACAAACTTTCATCTCCTACTTTATATCCCCCTTATAGGATGAATTTCGAAAAATGCTAAAACACGTATTTATTTAATTTTATTGAAGAGCATTAATGCCAAGTTTCAAGTAATTCTGATCATAAATATTTATTTTGTATTGTATTATAACGTGCTTTCCCGTGGGAATTAGATAATCTCCCGTGGTAAATAATAGCCTATGTCACTCTCCAGCCCTCCAACTATCTCCACACAAAAAATCACGCCAATCCGTCACTCCGTTTCGACGTGAAAAAGAACAAACAAACACACTTTCACATTTATAATATTAAATATGGATTACGCCTTCGCAACTGTTTTCATAGCAAGACTGAAGTAGCAACACTTAATTCGTATCTGTCTCTGTAGTCTGTATCTGCTCTAGTCCACTCTCTCGTATCATCATCATCATCATCATCATCATCATCATGTTCAGCCTGCTTTCGTCCACTGCTGGACATAGGCCTCTCCTATGGCACGCCACTGAGCTCGATCTTCAGCTCTACGTATCCAACCGCTGCCAGCCAGTTTACGTATATATCTCGTACTATATCTCTCTACGTATGTACCCTAAGAAAATGTGACGTAGAAATAAAAAACCCAAATTAAATAGTTACTTTGTTATGAAAAGTATTTTTTTTCTACCGTTTTTAGACTAAGAGATAACCTTTTCCATAAATTGAACTTATTGTAAATTTAAATAAAAAAATAACATGATAACAAACTATAATAAGCTTATAATATGTGATATCGTTCCTCAATAATAAAGTTACTATATATAACCAGTTGCCAATTATATTTACATATTTAACCTATATATTAAATAAGAAAGTACCTAAGAATAATGTTGAAAGAATTAATAGATTCTTAGTAAAGCTAAATTCGTGTCCTATGGACATTATCAAATCACGTAAAGCAGTGAATTTAGTCATTGAAAATTTGAATGTAAATATTTCCAATAACAAACAATATTTACCAATATACTTATTGATTAGCGTTAATAAAAAGTTCCTACAGAAGTTTTATTATTATAACATGATAACAACTTGCTTTAAATTTAAAAAATACAATAAAACAGCAACCATTTTCAAATTCTTTTACTTATAAAAATAAAACATTTACAATAAATCACAAACATATAATTTAATAAATAAATTAACTTATACGTATTCAGATGGAAAGGGACTTATGAGTTATGACTTAACTACTTCAGGTGCATTCTCAGGTATGGCATCTACACGGAAACGACACATGAGGGTGACAGGATCCCGCTCACGATCTGGCCCGCACTGTTCAGTTGCTCCGATAAGCTTCATCTCGTCGTGGGACTGGGGTTCGGTGTCAAGTCGGCGCCGCCCGGCGATCACAACTTCTTCTGCATCCACCGTACCACCAGCCGATCTCTCACTCTCACCGATTTCAACTTTATACGGCGTGCTTGGCTCTACGAAAGCTTTTGTTGCTTGAATATCCGACCTATCTTGTGCTAAAATGTCATTATTTTCCTTAGATCTTTTCAATAATAAGTCGAGAATATTTTCATAGGGTAGTTTTTTTGGTACTGCGACAAGTATTAGAATGTTTTGCACTTCAGCTTGTACGTTGAAGGCGCCGTCTTGCCGCTGGTCGACGTCGGGTGGAGCGGGTGCGGCGGTGGCTGCAGCCAGTAGGCAGGCGAAGATGAGGATCATGGTACGTGCGGTTGGTTCACCCACTGCCCGGTGACTGTGGGCCGATATCTCCCGCGCAACTTTTACTGAGCGCTCGCGAACCAGTCGCCGGATGAATCGAGTACACTGTAACGGTTTAAACGGCACGATCGCTTTTGATTTTACATACGGATGTGTGACACTTATAGTCTATGTTGTGGTATATTTATGTGGGTTATAGGCTTTATATTTGTTAAAGAGTAAGCTTTTTAAATTCTTATATTGGTATACTTCCATATATTCTATGTAATGTACCTACATATAACATTAGCTAACGAAGTAGTGAGAGCTATTTTTTATTTACATAATACAAACATTACTTTAATTGAACTCCATAAGATACGTTTTATTGAATTAAAAAAAACAATTTTTTGATTAAAGCTTTTTTTTTTAAATCGTATCGTCCTATATCATGGAGCCGCGAGCTATGTAACCTTTGATAGTGACCGCAGGTCATCGATACGATAACCGAGTTTCCTATAAACTGCGCACGCGCACGTTGTATACTATCACATCTATGGTACAAGTAATGTTGATGGATAAATTCTTCTTGATGCAGTTATCTTAGCTAGCAATCCTACAGTTTTTAGTACCGTTAGACTTGCAACTAACAGTGAGTATTAACGAAGCATCGATGATAGAGCAGGAAGAAAATATTTAAAGCGACATTCCCACACGTACAAGATAAACTGCTGCAGCTGCCAATATCATATTTTTAAGAACATCGAGAGCACGTAGATTTAAATGAAAGATATTCTTTCGTATTTCAATATATTATTTTTATATAAATGTTTTTACATTAAAATCATAATTAATTTCTGGGCATACTATGATAGTCCAATGTACACGGTGCAGTAATTAGGTGAACTTGTATTTAGTCCTTTTTAACGTCCCACTGCTGGGCATGAGCCTTCCTTCAATACGAGGGGGATTAGGTCATAGTCCACCACGCTGGCCAAGTGCGGGTTGGCGGACTTCACATGTCTTTTGAAAACTTTCCTAGGTTCCCTCAAACAGGCAGTATTCCTCACGTTGTTATTTTCCACCGCAGGACAAGTGGTAATCATGTTTGAAATCATTCCTAAATTAAAATATCAGACAGACCCAGGATTGGAACCCCCAGGTGCATCTATAGATATATAATTGACGCACCTACTAAAAATTAATAATATACACTTTGTGGATTGTATAAATTAAATAAATAAATATAATAATTAAATAATATTTGGATATTACTGGAGCTTCCATTTTACTTTATTAAATTATTTTTTTATAATATACTTCCTAGCAATATGATAATAATATACAGAGTATGTACTAACTTTAAAAATAACTACTTATCGCTATGACTCATCGCTTCTATTAAATGAATGTACTTGCAATAATAAACAAATATTAATGTCTACTACGATTTAATTTAAATACTTAAATTTATGAATAGTAATATTTTATTTTTTTTAAAGTATAAAACTATAGATTATAAATTATTCGACAAACTTTCAGTGAAAGCTGTTTCCGATGATGAACTTTCACGTCATTATTTGCAATCTATACCTCCGTCCTTTTTACCAGCCAAGTGGGTCACGAGGATAATAGAGACTAAAGCACGCAAATGCGAGTTTTGATTAAGTATGTACAATTAAGAACTTATACTTTAACATTCTCAGGGCATAACAATTTATAGCATTCTAAAAGACGTAGCAAATTTATAAAATATAGTACAAGATGTATCTAATATTTTATTTTCACACTTTTTAAATATTTTTTTTAATAAGGTGTCCAATATTTACTACTAAATAATAAACTGTAACTAAGCCGAATCTGTACATTAAATATTTTTTGTAAAATCTGATGGAAATAGACATTTTTATCGATACAGAGACCGAATCTATAGTTTTTAGATTTTTTTGTCTGTCTGTCTATCTGTCTGTCTTTCTGTTACCGCATCACGGAAAAACCACTGGAGGGATTTTGATGAAATTTGGTATGGTGATAGCTGGTTATCCGGATCAACATATAGGATACTTTTTACCGCGTGAAAATATCAAATTTCTGAGAAAAAATACAAAAACGGCAATGTAAGAATATACTAATATGTAAAACCTAAGAAATTGGTTTTTGGTCATCTGAACGCGGGCAGAGCCGCGGGCAATGCTAGTATTATATAAATTGCTTGTATTGACTTATTCATCATCACTCAGGCCAAATCGCTTGATAAAAATGCAGGAAAACATTAGACTATCGTATTTCTATGACGATATTTTTTTAACTATATTCTTTTTGGAATTTATACAATGACAAATAAAAAAAACCAGCCAGCCATTGCAATGGGCTAGTTTGTATATAAAAATAAAATAACTAGACGGTGTAAAAACTTGAACTATTTAACTTTTTGGAACTACATCATTTCATGGAAACTTTATTTTCAAAGACATTTGTACTTGTGATTATTTAATATTTTAATTTAAGTATTGTATTATTAGTATTGGAATTTTAAGTGATAATTATATTTATTAATAATTTGGACTTAAATTGGTATTGAAAAGGTATCAGGTAAAATATATTCAGTATATTATGTTTACCTTCAAAAAATTGTTGTAAAATATCTAATTTACTTATTAATTTATTAACTTTTTTTTCATTTATCAATTAAAGACACTTTTTGGGATTTTTCAATAAAAATTATCATTTATTTTCAACAAAACAATTCACATACAATCATACAACTTACAACTAAATTATAAATATAAATAAATGCAATGTGCATCACTCGCGGCTATATGGCCCTTATTTTTTTTTTACATATCTCACTTATCAATCACATTAGTGGTGTCGCGTTCTTCGTAGCAATGGTATCAAAACATTTGCCAGCCGGTTTTTCAGTCTGAAAGTAACAAAATAAAAATATATCAAAATAAAGTATAATATATGAGTATCTAAGGAAAAATTTGTTTTTTTATCTTGTTACTCGACTGCGGCGAAGCCCAAAGGATGATTATAATCTCTTTAAAGTATCGATATATTTTTTACTAGTAATAATGACAAATCATTTTTTTGACAGTACTATAATAAAATTAAAAAAAAAATATACTCGTAGGTCCATGTATAAATGTTTTTAATTTTTTATTGTAATAAATTACCTTTGCGCTTTTTCTTGTTTTTTAACCGAGGCATCCTTCTTCTGAGCGGGTAAATTTGACTCAAGGCTAACATCGCTGATAGGTTTATCATTTGGATTCTCCGATTCAGGCTTCAGATTTGATTCTTCAGGTTTTGATTCCTCGGGTTTTGATTCTTCAGGTTTTGATGGAGCATGAGGAGGAGGAGGTTTGAGGAATACATCTAAGTCCGTTTCGCTAAACAATTCACTTAGGTCCGAAGCGGCATCGAGGAGAGTTTCAGCTGGAGCGACTGCTATGACGACACCATCGATGCTTAAGCGATAGTTTTCAGTGCCATTCTGTCTTTGATCAATATAGGCGTGAGGGCAATCAGGGACGGGTGCCGCAATATTAATTGAGACCACCGCTAAGAGGACCACCACCTCGCATATCACTCGTCTGTAGTTGACCATCGCGCTACTCGTCTGTTAACGCACTGAGACACGGGCCACGGCACTTGCGGGGTTCACTCTGTAGCCACTCACCGCTGCATCTTTTATTTATTTGCCGAGATAGCGGTACAGTGCCGCTGTTCTTACCACACCACCCAGTTAAGCTAAACTGGAATTAATAAATGTTATGTGGGCCATTATAGATGGGATGACAGCTATTTTAGATTAGAAGAGACATTTGAACTGGTTTGGTTGCAATATATACCTATATATGGGTATCTACATATTATATACATATATGTACCTACTCCCCAAATGCAAATCGGTGAAAGTTTAGATTATTATCGATAGTTAACAGTATTTCCAGCAAAATAAAGTTTGTACTAGCACAAAAAACGACTTTATGAAGACCTGGCGATAATTTTTTGGTAATTCTAAAGGGCAATAAAAATATATAATCGTAAAATGTAGTTAACATCAAGGCCATAACTTTTAAACGGGATAGCTTAGCATTGCGAGACAGTCATACAACCTGTTGCGATGCGCCGGCGCTCTCCTCTAACTGTACCGTATAAACGGTAAACTTTAAACGCTTGTTTTGTTTACATTTGTTCGTCGTCATTGAATAGATTCTATTTAGCTCAGCGATATTGATGTATTTGCTATGAGATTAACATTGCGATTAAATTGTCTACCAAGTTGTTATAGCGGATTTATCTATGCCGTTATCGTCTATGCGAAGGTATAATCAACCAACTAAGCTCAGCAGGCATTAGTATTTACTAGCAACTCACCCTCGCTTCGCTCGGGATCGCCTCTAGAAAAACGCTAACATAGATCTATTAGTTCCCACGGGAACCGTTCATTTTTCCGGGATGAAAAGTAACCTGTTGTTTGACCGGCAATATAAGGTATCAGAATGTTAAATTTTACTAAATTAAGTGCATGAGTTGTTGTGTACTAAGCTGTATAAGTTATTATAGTTTTTTTAACTATCCCACGGAAACTCTTTAATTTTCCGTGATGAAAAGTATCTAAGATGTTGATCGGGGATATAAGGTAACCACCATACAAAATTTCATTTAAATCGGTCCAACAGTTTCAGAGATTAGCTCGTACAAACAAATACACAGACAGAGAAACAAAAAAAAATGATTTTTTTTAATTACTTTTGTTTTGTGGTCTATGTTGTGTACATAATACGTTACAAATAAACAAAAACATCTATCCCACGGGAACCATTTTTACAATGTATTAAATTCCCACAAAAATCGCTTGGCATTTAAATTTATTACGCTTAACATACTCGTATATAATATACTTGCATAATATATTTTTGCCAAAAATCAAGCCGATATGTTGCCGCGTAAAAGAAGGACCAACAAACGAATTTTCACATATTTAATTACTATTATAGTATTACGTCGTCTGGAATATTAGTAAATTTTTTAAATTTATTTTTGAAGTTATACTTCTTTTGGCACGTTTGGAAAAAAATATGAGAGTAAAATTCTTACGATGCGCGCACCCACCGACAGCCAAAAAGCGACATGATGAAGTTAGTTGAAAGTAACATGGTGAAGTTAGCTGCATTCCTTGATGCTTGTTCCTGGATGAAATCTTTAGCTATTTTTGTTCTGTTTCGCCAAAGAAGTACCTATAACTTCTTACGTGCGTACACACACGTTTGTTTTAATTAAAATATTACACGTACGTACATACTAATATCGCTTTTTGGTCATAAATAAGATTGATATAAAATGTAAATAAAATAAAAGATAGGTTTTTAAGTGTACATAATACATGACAATATGAAATCAATCTAAATATCAATACTATATTTTAATTCAGCCAACAAAACATGTAACTGTTTTTAATCGTTGGAGAGCGACCAATTACAGGTATTTAAAGCAAACGGGACCGATTGACCTACAAACTAAACGTTTTATAAGTACATCAACTTTGCTTTTAGAAAGCTTGGACGTTCGATTGAGACAGTATTTATTTTTATAACTCTTACAAGTAAACACAATTAATATTCACGACCATAAAAGTGGGGATAATTTATCTATTAATTGAAGTTAAAGGTTTTTTAGAGTAATATTCAATTCAATTCAGATATTTTCTTCGACCACAGATCATATAAACTATACTAGTAGCTTCGACTAAAGCAAACACCCAATATCCAAAGCTGCTTTATGGCGCAATTCTTGGACTTTGGTCGTGGTGATGGAGAGAAAGGGAGAGATCTTATTTCTTTTCTTACAAATATTTGTTTTATGCTTACGAAGCCTAGATGTTTCTTTTAGAAAGTTAACGTTAGATACCTTTTTCAATTGCCTGAAAGAGTTATATTGCTAAAAACGATTTTACATTACTATATGTAAATTGTAATAGCAATAGCGCAAAATTCATCACTGTAAGTGTCTTTTGTCTTTTGTCACACTACTGGCCACAAGGCTCTCTTCAAGCGAATTTCATATGTCTTTCGAAAACTTGCTAGTTTCTCTCAGACACGCAGGTTTCCTCACGATGTTTTCCTTCACCGTAAAACAAGTGGTAATCACGTTGGATATTATTCACATATAAAATATCATAGGTGGCAGACCCGGGATTTGAACTCACTTCACTCGGTTTCCCAAGCGAGCACCACTAGACATTGTTAGTGGCAATAAAAACCTTAAAAACTAATTACTAAAATTTTATTGTACATAATTATAAGAAATAAAACTATTTTATTAAATCAACCAATTTATTAAATTTACATACACATTTACGTTTTCTTAAATAAAACATCATATTTTTAATCATAACATATTTTAGATACAATCGAATCAGTCAAATAAGCAAAAACAAAACGTTCGAGTTCTCTTCTTCTTCTCACTCTTTTTCTTTTTCTCACATTTAAGAAGAATAAATTTATTTTTATTAATATCGTAACATACATTGAGAGAGATTTAATAGCAACTCAAATCACGGAAGACTTATTTGTGCAAGTTCTAATAAAGATAATACAAACAAATAAACATGTCAATACGAGTCAAAGAACAAAATAAAGAAAAACAAAAATAATAATTATAAATGTACTTTAGAATGTACACATTTGTACAATAAATGAGTGAATTCTAAAGTAAGAAAATTAATTCATATTATTTTTCTAACTTCGGGAGAATAGTAGAGGAGCCCAAGACGGGATTTTTGGAGTTACTCAAGCGCGGCAGATTAACGGTTACAAATATTTTTACCTCATCAGCTGCCCTAGACGCGCGCTCTTATATAGAGGGCTTTATTATGGTAGAGGTACTCAACAGAGTGCAAGGTATCCCCCCTTATGTTAATCTTTTGTTTAAACAATAGATGGCGTTGATCCCCAAACTGTCGGACTATTCTATCATATAACAATTATAAGTTATAACTAAAACATAGCAAAATTCATTTTGCATTTAATAAAATACAATTTTAGTCACCCGTTTTAAATACGAGAACCAGATTTTTTAATACACATTAATTTAAAAACACATTATTTATTTTTCTTTTAGTCCGAGTACTTACTTATTCGGGATCTACTTTTTTTATTAATTTTACTTTACGCGCAACGCCATCTATTGACAATTATTTAAACTATTTTTTTAATAAGACCACATGACAATACACGGATAAAATACTCTTTGGAATCTTGCAATCTATTAACTATTGTAACCATTTATGTGCACATATGATTTCTTAGCACATTTTATTTATCAAGAATTAAAACTTTCTTAAAATTATGATCCAATCTAAGCTAGTGATCAAAATATTCCAAAACAATTATAAAATAACTAAAATAAACAAAATCCAAATAAAACTATCTTTTCGGATTTATTATTCGGGTTATTGATTATTAGCGTATTTTATGCGGATAGATGCGGATCGCGGGGACTAAAACACAAAATAAATGCGCGATATAATCCGAAAACATAGTTTTATTTAAAATATCAATATTCGCGTAAATCAAGAAAAAAAAGAAAGTATTAAACAAAATTTGATTTAAAAAACGTTTTAAATGACAAATTTAATCATAGATATATATATATTTTATATATTTATAGATATATATATTTTATTTTGCTACTATTACCTTATAAACTATGGTTAATAATAAGTAAATGCTAAGTCTCGTAACGCACAATATTTTTAAACAAAAAAACAAATAATATCACCAGAAATATCATGTTGTGTAACAGTTCAAGGCACTTGGGAAGACCATATTATAATTATTGTAAGGCACTAAGATATCTTTCAACTTACATAGTAAAAGATACAAAATCTTTACCCCTATTTATAGATATAAATAAAATTGAAGTGTCTGTTTGTAATTTCAAAATAACAACTTTTTACTAGATGCATATGAAAGTATATACAGTGCATTATTATGAGAAAAACACTCTTTTTATTTTTGTCCGGTTGTTTGTTCCGGCTAATCTAAGATAGTTAACGGCTGCATTGATTTTGGCGGAACTTTCACTGGCAGATAGCTAATGTTATAAGGAATAATTAAGGCTATTTTTATTATAGAAAAAAGTTAGGATACTGCTCAAAAAAAATTAAAACCTATCTAGGGACGCAGTTAGTGCAGCAGCAGTTTATTTATAATAAAGGATAAAACACCCGCTTTTTCTTTCCTTTTTTTATGTTATGGTAAACCAGTACTGAATCCCATTTTAAATAAAATATGCTATTGTCAATAACCGATTATTGTTAAAAAATCAGTTGGTTTGTAATAATTGTACTAGCAGTTTTTTTTCAACTGTTAACTATAAAAAAAGCCAAAGTTAATTTATAGGAATCAATATAATAATATAGAATGAGAACTTATTTTTAGGATTTAAATAAAATCAACACAAGAAATCAATTATTAAAGAATAAACATTTTAGACTATCAAGATTATTGTCAGAAATAATTGACACAAATATCTAACAAAACTAACATATTCTTTTTAAAATACTACACATTCAATACAATCATAACAATATATCAAACAACATAGCCATTTTTTTACTTTACTTATATTAACTTAGTAGTTTTATTACAAAGCTGTTTAATTTAAGGCAACCATTGTTTTTTATCACTAACACTATGTTGTATCATCACTGGCTTTCATCTATAGTGAATGCTTGTAGCAGCCATCGTCATACTGCAGAGTACTTTACTAACTGTGTATGTACTACTCTATATTAATTTAAAGAAACTCGACAGCTGAAATCACAAATGTATGTTCATGCAATGCAATGATTCAGTTGTCGAATATCATAAAAGGTTGGTTACAGAATAACACTATTGTACAGCTTTGTAAAAGCCGATTCAAGACGTAGTTATGCAAAATGGATTCGTCCCAAGCAAATAGTTTTTTGAGTTACTGTCATAAACGGCACCTACATATCAACATACATACAGAAAGTAGATAAAATACCCAATATTTAAAAGAAATTTAAAAAAAAAAATTATGGTCTTGTTATTTTGACATACCAATTTTACTAAAACCTCTATTTTCTCAAAAGTAAGTTTTTGCTGTTGGATCTATTTTGCTTAACTACGTCCAATTAATTATATATATAGTATTACATACTAGTGTCTACGTAGCCGTAGCAGTGACGTCACCCGCGATGGTCCGTAGCACGTGCTCATAGAAGCCGTCGCCGTAGCGCAGGCGGTAGAGCGCCGCGTCCAGGTAGCGCTGCACGGCGAGCGCGCAGGCGGCGGGCGCGCCGGCGCACAGCTCGCGGGACGCCGAGCACAGGGTTATCGCCTGACTCCATATACGGGTGCTTACTGGAATACAATGGAAAATATACATACAGGTACATTAAATATTTTTTGGAAAATCTTATTGAAATAGACATTATTATCGATATAGAGGCCAAATCTATAGATTTTACAATTTTTGTCTCTCTGCCTGTGACCGCATCACGGAAAAACAACTGGAGGGATTTTGATGAAAATTGATATGAGGATAGCTAGTTATCCGGGTCAACATATAGGATACATTTTACTGCAGGAAAATATGTCATCTCTGAGAAATCTATACTAAACGTTCAAACATAAGCCGGGACCAACTCCCGCAGAGCGAGGGTGAATCGTTAGTGTTTACTAATATTATAAGGTATCGAATTACCCTCGCTTTGCTTGGGTGTGACTCTAGGTAGCCCATATGTTATACTCCAGGTCTATCTGAGTAGTATATTTTATCTAATTCTGTCCAGCCATATCAACGTGAAGAAGTAACAAGCGTACAAACTACAAACACGTACAAACTGTCGTATTTATATTGTCTTTTAGTCACAGATACATTGATCCAGAAGCATATCCAGCATGTTTTTTTTGAGCACATTAAATGGAGCACATTTGTAAAAATCAATGCAAAATTCACAAATCAAATTATCAAGTTACTTACAAAAATGCTGCATATCCACATCAAAGTGCTGCAGTAGTTGTTGTAAAGGCACTGTATTCTCTATTATAGGTATATTGTTCCCCGTCACTTTGGTAGATTGTTCTTCTGTTACATTTGATAATATATGCTCAACCTCTTCTTTCCCTAACTGAAATATAAGAAAAATTAAATGTAATAACCAAACAAACTATTATTATTCTTTGATCTTTTCCATATCAAAAAAAATGTATTTAATTTTACTATAAGTTAAATTAAAAACAAACATTACCTGATCTTGGTCTGTCATTTTTTTCTGATCATTTTTAAGAACATGAAGTCTGTAGTGTGTCGGGATGTGCTGTAAACATACATAACATATTATCATCATCTAATACTAAAAAGTGAAAATCAAATTCACTCAAAACTGACTGATTGATTAATCCATACTTAATATTATAAATGTGAAAGTGTGTTTCGTTTTCCTTCTTTCACATCGAAACGGAGTGACAGATTGGCGTGATTTTTTGTATGGAGATACTTGGAGGGCTGGAGTGACATAGGCTATTTTTTACCGCGGGATATTATCTAATTAAACACAATATAATACAATCCAAAAAAATATAAACTTTAAGTAGCTGTAAAAGTCTTAAAAGTTTAATTGAAAATATGTTTTGAAAATGAATTTATAAACAAGATAGTGTAATGTAGCCCAGTGGTAATGTGCACGCTTGGGAAACCGTGTTAAGCGGGTTCAAATCCTGGCACTTTGCACCTCTGATATTTTCATGTGCATATGATTTCTAACATGATTACTTGTCATACAGTGAAGGAAAACATTGTGAGGAAACCTGCATGTCTGAGAGAACCTAGCAAATTTTCGAAAGACATGTGAAGTCCGCCAACCTGCACTTGGTCAGCGTGGTGGACTATGGCCTGATCATTGTTAAAGGGAGACCCGTGCCCAGCAGTGGGACCTCAAAAAGGGATGAATACAAGCAAGAAAGAAATGATATGTTTATATAAAAACTAATTTGTCTCACCTTGGTATCGGCAATCATTAATATCCGATGCACATGAGGTTGATCTGTTGTGTCTGGCGATAGTCTGTTCAAACAGTCTGGATACATTTCACTTAACACTACAGCATTTTCACCTCCTAATTTAGTTCCTTGTAATTTATTTATTGCTAACTCATCTAATTTGTTATAGATATAGTTTACCACTCTGGGTTTAATGTCTGAAAATATTTTTTCATACATTTTAGTCAATAGGTATATTTATATTTAAACTAACTGGTATATAGTGTAAGAATAACAGACTTATAAAAATTACAAGAGGGAAGTGGTCAGATTTTATATTATGTGTGATGCATAGTAAATATATTTTTACAAAATTATTTTATTGCTGTTTATTACTCATCTTAAAAAAAAAAGAAATCAACTTACCATCATGTTTGAAAGGTAGCAGGAAACAATATACAATTATGAATTAAATTAAATCATCTTTATATATTTAGACATTATTCAGCACAATTGGAAATAATCTATAATAGTCAAGTAAATTACCAAAATGTTGAGCAGAAGAAGTAACATCAGCATCTTCACACCAAGCAAGGATGACTTGCAAAGCTTGTAAAATTGAGCATTGCAATTTAAAGAAAAATGAACCACTTCTAATTGGTTGTCTTTTTCCACAACCTTCACATATCCATTGAACTCTGGAACATATTTAAGTAGGTATATATAAAATGCATAGAAATTAATATAAAATTAATTAAATAATTGCTCACTAAAACATTACTTGTAGGTATTACCTATCAATAACTCGTGCTGGTTTGCACAAAACTTTACAGTCAGGCATGTTTTTGGGGCAAGAAATATTTGAAGGAATCAATCCAAATGATTGCAATTTACTGATTAGTTGACTTTCTAAACTGCGTTCGCCGTTATCTTTAATTAGGTCTTTGTACAGTTTTAGATTTCTGTAATAAAATATTTAAATAAATGAATATAAAATATTCTCCTCAAAAGCTATTCTTCAAAATTCAAAATTGTAAAATATAAAATCTTACGCTGGGCTTGAATTAAATGGTAAAGGAACATCATCTGTAAAAGTTTTTGAGTTATTATCAAAAGTAGTCGAATCCGCTTCCATTGTTTATAATTAATGATATATTCATTAATATTTTAACTCATCATAGAAATTGGGAAATAATATTTATATTTATTTAACATTTCATATGTCTTTGACATTTATTTTGTGTCTATGACTTTATTTGTCATCCATCATCTATGGACCATGGTCTATGATTATTTTACACACTTATCACAGACTAGCAAATAACTAATAATTATAAAATATTATAATACAACTTAGATGAATAATATTCAAACGTTTAACATAACTTTTTATTTATTTTTGTTCCTCTTATGGAAAATAAGGCATCTAATGTTTTATTTAAGATTTTTACACAAACTTTTATTTATTATAAAAATTGACAGTTGTCCAGTGTCCTTGTCCATTTATAGTCTGTTGGGGACTGCAGTCCGTTTACCTTTGTAATAAACTGTCATTTTGCTTTTATTTTATAATTTGTGAGTTCGATTTGCTGTTGTCTCGATACGTTTATGATTTTAAAGTATATATATGTAGTATTTATGAATTAAAGTAGTGATATAATTTTATATTGAACGAGACAGTAATATTTGTAAATTAAATGTGCCCATCGTATACATTGTGATTTAAATGTGCTTCTGGATTTAACGATGGTATGTATGATTCGTGTTATAACTACAATATTTATATTTAATTAGTAAAGTATCAGTTAAAATTTATTAAATCAATAAAGTATAAAATTGCAATGAATGATTAATTAACTTAATAACAATATTTAAATTTCACTAAGAGAAATTAAAATCGATTTTCATTAATTTATTACTTAGAAGTTCATCATATTTTTATTTAGGTATCATGTTTGTGATTTATATAAGCTTTTTTTGTTGACTTATTTTATGAGTGTAACAATATTTATTTAATATTTTATTATATAAACTTAATATGGTAATATTTTTTATGCGAATATAATTACCAATAAATCTTAATTCTTAACACATCATTTGCTTATCTTAAATTTCACAGTACCAAGTATAACTATTATTTTAAAGTGAATGAAATGTTTTATAAAATATTAAAACTTTGTTTAAACTTTTAGCTTTACAGATTTAATAGGAATTACCAAAATAGGTATATAACAATTTACATTCACGTCTTTTTGTAAACTTTTAGTTTGTTGGTTTTTCCTGTTTATTAAAATCTGAAATTCAGTAAAAAGAAATTCTCAGCATTCATACATTCATCAAATTTATCCAATTTAAAAAAAAAAATATTTAATATATTCTTCAATAAATATCTACCAGAAGAAAGTTTACAATAAAAACTAATAATTTTGTAGTGGCGTGCCGTGTGCGTGATTAGGGGCAATCGTGACGCAATGACGCAACGGACGTATTTTTGGTGGCACAAGAACACATTTTGTCTAACAACCGTTGTGTTGTAAAATGAGACATTCAAACTAGTGATGCGAAATTTAATGCACCAACCCATTTTAATTTATGGTCAAAACAATAACAATTTTTATATCCGCCCGGGGCGTACCTACCAGCTACCTACAGATATAGAGAGAACAAAGTGACCTAATATTTTTTTTGCCTGTATGGAAAAAATGGCTATTAAGTCTTAACAATGGCTATTAAGTCCAGGTAACTAATGCTGTACATACGTATTAATCTCGTTAGTATAAATATCTATTATGTGGTTATGATCATGTACCTCGTGTAGAAATCAAAACTCTGTATATTATGCACCCTAGTCAGACACAGTCAGACCCTACGATGCCACGTCGACCATCTTTCATAAAATTTCCAAATATGTATACAAACCCAATAACATACGAGTACACCTTCAACAATAAATAAAATTTATTATTAAGAAGTAAAAACTTACAGCACCACCAGTGGTTTTTCTGTGATGCGGTAACAGACAGACAAAAATTCTATGTAATGCCTATTTCAATAAGATTTTCCAACAAAATATTTAATGTACAGATTCGGCTTAGTCACAATTTTATTATATGTATAGATGTTCGAAATGAAAAAAAATACATTCTATAGGCATGTATTTCCGACCGAACAGGATATTTGTTATAGGTAAAAAAGATATTTTAAATATTTTTTAGTTTAATGAACCGAGAAGGTGATTCCACGCCGTATTAAACACGCGAGTGGTGACAAACGAGATCAGACGATACTTGGTATGAGGACGCCTTACAAGAAATATTTTTTAAAAGGAGAAGCGAATATTTTTATTTCTCTCTTCCATTTTTACTACCTCATTATTCCATATTTACAACTCTCACACTCAAAATGCAACGAAATTATGTTTCTGTTCTCTTATTACTACATATTAAAAAAAAAGTCCCCCGCCGTGTCTGTCTGTCTGAACACGATCTACTAAAAAACTACCTAAAAGATTTTCATACAGTTATAACCAATGGACGGAGTGATTCAAGTTTAGGTGTATAATTCATTATGGGTTTGGGAAAATTGGCTGAAATATGACCATCATCATTGTAAATTTCATCATTCAATCATCCCGACTGGGAGCTTTACAGGCCTGCGTCGCGTAAAATAGGTGAGCTATATAAAAACAATGTATTACAGAACAATTCCTCTTAAAAGATCTTATTAAACTGTAGCAACGCTATATATACGTACCTAAGGATGCACTTTTTTTTATTATCGCTGGGGAAACCCATCATGGGGACCCTGCCAGCCGTGAACGGGTAGGGTACTGTGAGACTCCTACTCACTAAAACCCACAGAGGAACCCATCGCCGCAGTGTAATAGAGTGTTGCAGGATCGCTTGCGCACACTACAACACCCCTGCAGCCTAGGGTTGCACCTGAGCGAAGCGAGTGTAACTAGTATAAGATACATTCGATATTTGCATTGATTTCTCCAACTAATTTAAATGATATCCTTTCCATTGTAGCCTTTCATGGTTTTGATGTCCCTTGACAATAAATTGCGTAGGCGCATTGAAATTTGCAACTGCTCGCCGAGCACCGACTCCTCGTAAGGACAATGATGTCAAGATAAAATGTTAACTTTCTCAAATTCCAGCATGACATTTTCTTTTTATGTTACAATAATTAAACTTATTAGTAAATTTACAAAAAAACTCACTTTCTTTTTCCCTTTTTTTTTACTTTAGATTAAATTAATTCTTATAAAATATCCTAGGTGTAGGTTATACTTCAAACGTTGCATTCGACTCATTTTTTTCGATAACTTTGTAAGTCTGTGTGCACGCCGTGCCTGAGTTATATTCGGAATCTTTATTATGTTTGAACACAAAGACGGAGTCATAGCTAAAATTATTAGATATCTATAAAAATATATTAAACTTCTTTTATTTCATTCATTCAAGCATTCTGTGAATAAATTGAAACTTCGTAAACAGACAAGAGAGTTTAAATATCATTATATTATCATTAAAGATAACCGAAACGTAGCCAAGAATAGTACCTATATTTTATATTTCTGCTATAAAAAATCATTGTTGTCGTGTCTTTTGTGAAGCACTTCTATTATTGCCCTATAATATATTTTATACTCGCAGCTTTTATCGGAAGCCATTATGTAGTTGTCATATATATTTCTAATTGAAAAGAAACTCGTATCATCGTATAATCGTGATATCAAATGTACATAAATCATGTACAAGCATACGCAAATATAATTCAATTGATGACAACAATCAATAAATTACTAATGTAGGTTGCAAGATGAGTTGTAGGTATATGAGTATTTTGAACAGCAAATAGTCCCTCCCAATATACTATTGATATTTCACGTGCAAATATACTCATTTAATCATTTTTTTAACACCTGCAGGTAAATTTCTAAGAAATTAATTAAAATTTTCTAAGAAATCTATTGTTAACTGACACGTCGGCGTGTCCGCGGTCGTGACACGCCGGCGTGTCTGCGGACGTGGAGGGTTTATAAAACGTTTTGTTGATATTTGAGCGACTTTTATAAATATTAAAATATTATTTTAGTGCGGTAGTTTAGACAAAATGTATTTTGACAAATGTTTATAGATTATTTCATAAGCGCTACTCATCTTTTGGGCTACCCAAAAATTACCAGAAATGCCCAGAAATTGATATCCCAAAATGCTAGTTTTCATTAACCTGAAAGCTTTAATATTTCAACTTTCCCGTCAAGAAAATTCTCAACGTAGGTATAGGTTGAAAACCTTTATTGCATATTACCTAGTAAATTGCCAATAATCTCGGTATTCTTTGGAGCATTTACAACATTCGTTGGGTAATACGCCCCGAGCAATAAGCTTCACTAAACGAGCATGTGTGGAGCGCGTTGCTATATTTAGTTACGTTGTCATGTGCAGCATCAGGCTATGATCTAGCCATTTCCCCTAAAGTCTGTTAGCCGTACATCACAATCATTCCCGGAACATCCGTCGCCGTCTTCGAGGTTGATATCGGATAATAGAGTTTGCGTTTATCTAATCAAGTGCCTCGTACGATGCTTTGTGATAATAGTTGCCTGTTAAGCGATTTCACACGACAATTGCGTCTTACGACATGTATTTTTTTTCAATTTATAAGTGAGACATTGTAACGCTCTTTGCCAAGTAACATTAGTTATGCCACGCCTATTATATGTTTTTAAAAGACTTTATGAGTTATGTTAAGTAAAGCACGTTCACTTCGATAATATGATATGGTTTTCACTCTTATAGCACTCAGGCAAAACAGTATGACGGCGTTCTGTCAAAAACTGTTCTCATACGCTTGGATAGCTAACACTGGCTGAACATAAAATGATACATACATCAAAACAATATACTCGAAAATCATCATCATACACAATTACTTCTTTATCTAGTACTAGCGACTTAACCTCACCTCGCTCGGGTTCGTCCCTAGTTTGATTCCCCATACAAACTTTCATCCCTATTTCACCTCCTTAAGGGATGATTTCCGGTTTAAAAAGTATCCTATATCCTTCCCAGGGTTTTAAACTATCTTCTTACCAAATTTCATCTACATCGGTTCAGTAGATCC